AGGCCTGATTTGTGCAGTGCATGACTGATTGTTGTCCTATGGACAGACTCTCCCACCTCAGCTGTAGTTATCTGCAGTTCATCCAGAGTGATCATGGGCCTCTTGGCTGCATCTCTGATCAGTCTTCTCCTGCTAATTATCTCCAAGAAGGCCGGGTCTTGGTAGATTTGCAGTGGTCTGATACTCCTTCCATTTCAATATAATTGCTTGCGCAGTGCTCCTTGAGATGTTTAAAGCTTGGAAATCTTTTTGTATCCAAATCCAGCTTTAAACTTCTCCACAACAGTATCTCGGACCTGCCTGGTGTGTTCCTTTGTCTTCATGGTTCTCTCTGCGCTTTAAACAGAACCCTGAGACTATCAAAGAGCAGGTGCATTTATACGGAGACTTGATTACACACAGGTGCATTCTATTTATCATCATCAGTCATTTAGGACAACATTGGATCATTCAAAGATCCTCACTGAACTTCTGGAGTGAGTTTGTTGCACTGAAAGTAAAGGGGCCGAATAATATTGCACGCCCCACTTTTCAGTTTTTTATTTGTTAAAAAAGTTTAAATTATCCAATAAATTTCGTCCCACTTGTTGTTGATTCATGAGAAAAAAATAAAATTTGTATATCTTTATGTTTGAAGCCTGAAATGTGGCGAAATGTTGAAAGGTTCAAGGGGGCCGAATACTTTCGCAAGGCACTGTATATGGAATCTACACCAAAAATATACACCCTTTCCTGTGCAAGTTTCATAAATGAGGACCAATAACACAAAGCACAAATACATAGAAAAATCCAACTTTATGCTGAATCAAGGGTTTATACAGTGATTTAAACTGATATCACAAAAAATAAAAAATAAAAATAAATAACACTACAGAGAGAAAACTTCAATAAAGGAAAAGGGCAATAATAATAACATAATCACCAACATCTGTACGTAATCGTAAACCCATTCCTTCAACGAGCAGTGTTCCCTTCTCTTCAATCAGCATCTTTTTGGTTTTCAAAGCAGATTATGGCAAAAGCAGAAGATAGCACACAGTGTTTAAGGCAAAGGTGTGTGCTCCACCATCAGCAGAGACTCTTAACAAGTGTGGGGGAAGAAGAGAGACGTGGGTAAGAGACATATGGACCGTTACCATATAATTTCACTAAAATGGTCATTTTTGAATGGGTAAAGGTCCTTAAATTGTTGCATATACCAATAAGAGTGGCATCTGTTGCTATGGATACCATGGTCCTTGTTCATGTTAAATTCATAAGAACAGAATTAGTAACTCCTTAAAACAGGGATATGGAACGTCCTGAGGGAGTAGACTTGTATTGGTATATTGGACTAGAATCATGAGAACAAATCTGCAGATCTCCATCAACATTCACCTGAAACTTGTAGGATGTATATCTAAAGATTATATGCAACCTACAGGATTCTTATGTTATAAATACAAACCAAAACACTGATGGTTAATGACTGAACTTTGACATTATCATTTATACAGGTTTTAAGTATACAGTATCACAGTCTTTCTCCTGTGTGTCAGCACTAACAGAATATATAGATTCTAAATTGTGACAGGAGGAACAATACTCCACTGTGGACATGAGAGGGCGCCACAACTCCAAAGGGGACAGTTCAGAGTTTATTTGTATATATTTGTGTGTGTGTGTAAAATGTATGAATTGCAATAACAACAGTCCTGGACTCACTCCATAGTAAATAAACATACTGTAGTAAATTATGGTCTGTTTGGAGTGCCCTGAGCATCTGGACCAGAGAAGGCACTAACACCAGCACTATGTCACTTCCAAAGCCAGATCCTTTACACTGAGTTTTGCCTTATTGGAGTCATTTCATCGTGTTTTAATGGCCACTCTCTGAGTAGTGGGCATACATTGGAGGCTCCTACATCCTATGTAGGAACAAGATAGGATGTAGGAACCAGGAGAAAGGAGATCTACAAATCTACAACGTAGAATAAAAATAACTTGTAAATCTAATGCCAGTAAATAAATAACCAAGTGCTTATGTTTGAATATTCTGAATAATAACAGTTAAAGGTGCCATATTATCCTTTTCAACTTTTCTCGAGTTTAAACATGATTACAGTGCTATTTGACCTTCACCTTCACACACATTCATAGAGTAGTTATTTAATTGATTCCCTCAAGCTTTAGTTAGAGAGAAATCTTTCTCTTTCATTCTCGAGAGGCACAGAAACGAGTCGTTTCAAATCATGAGGTGCACCAATTTGTGATGTCAAAAGCCCGCCCCAAAAGGTGATTGACAGCGGGGAGAAACTGAACCAGCGAAATCAGCGCATGCAGCCTCTCTCCGAGTACAGCGTCTGGTCCATAGACACAAAATAAGTGTCTGTGCTTTTTTGTGTTAGCATCATTTCAACTTGGAGCAAATGTGGTTTTGGGTGTGAATATGTGACGACAGTATTTGGCCTAAAGACGGAGAATGAGGCGAATCGGGATCAACTTTGTTCCCGGAAATCCGCAAGTCTGAAATCCGCAACAAGACACGCAGATGTTTTCTGCCAAAGAATGTTCCAGAACTACGATTACCTTGAACAGGACTCACTCAAATTCTGATTTAGAAACCTGATTTAATCCCAACATAAAAGACAGGGAGCCTCAGTCTGTAAGTGCAATGCAACTAACTCGCCAACTAACTAAATATTAGGGTCTGATTCTGGATTGGGGACACAGGGCTCTATGTGACGAATTACCATTGTTGGAAAAAGTTTATTCTCAGGTCTGAAATTACTTGGTGTGGTACGACCACACCCCCAGCCCCCCCAGCCCCCCCAGCAGTATATTCACTTCCTCAACAAAATCCTCCTCGGGCCACCGCAAAGACGTGAAAGAATGGACAAACATCATTCTGCATTTAACAGTAGCTGCGAAAATGGATACTGAAACAAGAGCATACGTAGCTATTTATTGTACCTGCCGGCATTGTTGTTTACATTTGTTTTTGGCTACTGCGTATGTCCAAATGCACGTCCAGGGAAGTGGGGGTCAGTGCAGGCCCCCCCCCAGTAGTATACTCACTTCCTCTGAAAGATGTGAAAGATGCACCAACATCATTCAGCGTTTTAACAGCAGCTGCAAAAATGGAAACTGAAACTAGAGCTTTGCGTGGTTTTGTTTGGACAAACGGAGGAGTAGAATCCTCCGTGTAGCGCTCGAAGCAGACGTAGCTAGTTAGTGCATTGTTGTTTACATTTGTTCTCGGCTACTGCGCATGTCCAAATTTATGTGCAAGGAGCAGCGGGAGGAGGGGGTCAGAGCAGCAGCAGAGAATTCACACCTTTTTCTTCAAGCGGGTGTGAAAGAGCGCCCGGCTGAGCTGTCCCATTCTGCAGGCTGGATCTTAATTCTTACGTTTTCTCCCCCCTGGAACACAGTCGCCGTATGAACGGGGGGTAGCAACCGACATCCAACTAAGGCGTTTTACTGCTGCATTGCTTTATCTCTGTATAAACTGGGCCTGTCCCACTCTGTAGGCTGGATCTTAACGCATACGTTTTAACCCCACCTAAAACACAGTCTCCATGTAAACGGGACCAGGCAACCGACACCCAACCATCCCGTTTTACTGCTGCAGCATCTATGACTAAATCTTGTCATATGCACTTTGATTGAGACAGGGGGGCGGGGAGTGGGGGACTCGCAGTGCGGAAGCAAAGAGTCTCGACTTTGACCTGAGATCGGATCGCACCAAGAACCGCTATGCTAGGCACTAAAGCGAACAAGTACAAGCGCTTTGAAAAGGTCGCTCGAAGTACACGAGCACATTTCCAGCTAAGGTGTCCGTTCCAAATACAAATATTATTAACAATAAAAATATCATTTGACAACCACAAAACATACAGGAACATATCACAAAACAATAAAACGCTTTGAAATCATTTGGGGGAAACAGAAAATAATATCAATCATTTATATAAACAGAAAATAAACTGGTAGAGATCAGAAGAAAACCTGAAGAATTTCTTTGAAACATCCAAAAAGAGTAAAAAATAACAAAATAGCAGCTTTGTTCTGTACAGACACAGAAGGAAACATTTTCTGATAAAAGTTTACAAAAATTACCGAATGATGTGTGTAAAAAAGGTCCAGCCATCAAAAGCCGCCGGGCGAGTCCGAAATGTAGCATGAATCCAAACAGTCACCATCTTGGAAAGGTACAAGGCCTCTCCGCTGCATTGGAACAGTGGTCTATTTGGTTCGTACAGGTCTTGGTCAGCACAAAGATGGAGGCTCTGGCAGAAGCAGAGGCGATACATTGCTTAATTCAGTCGCTGTAGATGAAGAAAACGTTTCTGTGAAGCTGTGATGCAGAGACAAGATGAATGATACATGCATGGTGGGACTGTGGAACCAGTGTTCCACAATCAATGAATCAAAGTGAAAGATTCATAAACCAATCATTCTAATATAAAGTCCACTTACATACATGTTATTATTGCCGACTGACAGTGGCACAGTAGCAATACAAACATATTCTGCTCTATCATTACTACTGTAACGTTCAAATATTGTCTTGTCTCTGGATTGCAGCCTCAACGTGTGATTCTATAATATAGGGGAATATTAAAGAATATAAAAGAATGAGCAAACACAAAAACAGATTTGGCAACAGTTTGGCAGATGCAAACACATGTGTCCAGTCAGATGTTTGAGGCATCTTTTCAGCGCCTGCTGCACTCTGGAGGAGCACAGATCTGTGAGGCCCCTGTCTTCCCGATATGTGAGGCCCCTGTCCCATTTGTCTTGTGTTTGATGTCAAACGTAAGGAGTGAGGGATGTTCTGGGAGCCTGGCTCTGTGGACCAAGTTATACTATACTGATCCTTTAATGTAGGGAAATGTGTCCTCGGCATTTGACCCATCCTGCAATATGTGAGTGTGCGTCATCAGCAGGCTGAGGACTGGGACTGGGGCTATACCCTTGGTTCATGTGCGCATACAGATATTGGCGCGTGCGTGTCATCAGCAGGCTGAGGACTGGGGCAGGGGCAGTGCACGTTCATTCTTACGGCCTCCATTCATGTGCGCGTATGGCTGCAGCGAGTCAATGTGCGCCTGCAGTACCAGTGCCGGCCCATTAGCGGACGCCCTTGAGAGTGTGTCGGGTGTAGAGGGCGTTGGGCTGTGCTGAGGGCTGGGCGAGGGCGTGGGCTGGCGAAGCGACGTGGAAGCCGGGTCCAAGGGGATGTTCTCCAATGCCTCCACAGGCTCCAACCCCTCTGTGTCCGCCGGTTTGTTGTCATCACTGTAGAAGAAGCTGACATCACTGAAGGGTGCCTCCATCTCACCGCGGATGCTGCTAATGATCTCCAAGAAGGACGGCCGCATCTTGGGGTTGTACTGCCAGCACATGCGCATCAGCTCGAACCTGGAACGCAGAAAAAGACAGCTGAGGAGGTGGGGAGGCACTAGGAGGTGGGAGATAAAGCTATTATTCAGATGCTTACAAAACCAAATTGAATATAAAGGGTTTACAAACTGATGCATGGATCATTGCATGTATGCTGAATTGGAATGTGTGTTTGTAACTTCTTTTATGGAGATTTTTTGTTGAACATTACAAAGGAGTAATGTTGTATTTCACCATGAACATTATTTGCTGTGTTTCAAATTGAAATAATAAATGAATTCAATAATTCAGATTATGTTTGAGATCCGTATGGAAATGTGATCTGGGCAGTTTTGTTTAGAAAAATTAAAAGACTAAAGCCATGCTGAGCCCCTGAGTGAGCTGCGATGTAAACATGCTGATGTCTGTCTGACCTCACTGAGAAGGCATCCCATCAACTCCCGACACAAGCTTGGGACGTTATGGCAGCCTTGTGTTTTGACCTGGATACAGCGAGTGAGGATTGTCATACAGCAGTGGGAGGGATGGCTGCACCGACGCTTAACCCAATCTTCTCTCTTGTTTGTTCTTTAGTCATTATAGGGCTCAAATCATATATTGATAATGTATTTCTCTATTGATCTCTGATATTTCCAGGGTTCATACTGTACATGAAAAGATCTGGCTTCACTATCATTGATGTAATGTCCTTATTGAAATCATTTGAACTCATCTAAATATTGCAATTGTGCTGCAAATGCAAAATGATCTCTTCTTTGCAGGATGGTGCTGCCCTGATCTTGCCCTTGTAGGCATCTGGAATGAGGAGCATTTGCAACAGTCCCTGTCCAGCTGGAGCCTCCCTTCTATGGGCTCACAAGAGCTGACAGCCGGGGCCCGAGTGTCGTCAGAGCCCCTTTTAAGCACTGACGTATACGTAAATGTTAGCCTTGGCTCGCACTGACATCACATGATAGCACGCACACACAGACCAGAATAGACTGGGGCTCGTGTTGTGTAAGCAGGGCCAGCTGCTAACAATGCAAGGGGCCAGGTACAAAGAGGTTACATGCAGAGAATGTGGGCTGAAGGGTTACTTCGAAACCCACAGTCACAGTTGACCCCAAAACAACTAGTAGCTCAATGCTCCAACATCCACAAACGGCAACTGCTATCACAGCTTGAGATCGATGAGGTACAACACATATATGATGCCATAGTTGCCGAGGTCAGAGGGGAGGTCTCACCAACTCCAACTCCCCAACCAGATATTGGGTACATAGCCCCAATGGAACCAATAACGCTGAACGAGGCAGCGACTGACCTGAAAGCTAAGAACATGGCAAGAATGGGCACAGGGCATCGACACTGGTTACAGCCGTTGTGGTACCACCTAAGGATCTCATAGAAAGCATGAATGCAGCAGTGAGGGCAATACCTACCACCACAATCACTGAAACCAATGAGCTGATATACACTTCAGCAGTAGTGATCCTAGAGATGCTTGGCTGTAAGAACAACCATGGGAGCCATGGACAATACCCACCATGGAAAAGACGGTTGGAGGCTAAGATCAAGGCTGCTTGGAGAGAAGTTAGTCAATTAACAGGCCCAGAGAGGTGCAATGAAAAGACCAGTACCCAGAAAGTACAGCCAGATGACCATACCTGAAGCACTCGAAACTGCCAAACAAAGTCTCCAAGCCCTGGCCAGCCGCCTACAAAGAATGAAGCCAGAAGAGTAAACAGGCTGTTTGCAACACAACCTGCAAAGGTGTATGCTCAGTGGCAGGGTAACAACAGGGGAGCAGACCCTAAAAGTCTGGAAACTGAAAAGTTCTGGAAGAACACATGGGAGAAGGAGGCAGCACATAACAGCAGTGCACAATGGCTGGTGTCCCTGAGAGAGGAGCACAGCCACCTCCCAGAACAGGTGATAGCAGTTACCATCACAGAGGCAGACATCCGAGAGTCTCAGGTATGAAAAACTGGACAGCACCTGGCCCTGATATGGTCCATGCCTACTGGCTAAGAACACTCACATCACTCCATGAGCGCCTAGCAGCACAAATGAACCAGCTGCTGAGAGATGGGACTCACCCAGAATGGCTAACCGAAGGGCGAACGGTCCTGATCATGAAGGACCCTGTCAAGGGTGCAGTCCCCTCCAACTACCGGCCAATAATAACCTCTCCACAACATGGAAGCTCATTTCAGGCATCAGAATCAGAATCAGAATCATTTTTATTGCCACGTAAGTAATAGGAAGTCACAGACTTGGAAATTGCTTTGGCTCAGTGCAACAGTCAGAAAGAGATAATAAAAAATAAAGAATAAAAAACACTTCTAAGGAATACATTTAAATTTAAAATAGAGTTACAGTTACTATTTACAATATACAAGTGCACATGGTGCACACAATGTAAGGTGACAGCAGTACAGTGAAGTAAAGTGACGTATGATGGGCAGTAAAGTGACTTTATAAAGGGCGGGGGGACAGGTTAAGAAGTGTTCAAGAGTCCAACAGCAGCGGGGAAGAAACTGTTCTTGTGGCTAACGGTGATGATAAACTACTATTGTAGCCACAGCTGCCCTGGGGCACACTGACAGAAGTGAGGCAACCAGTATGTGCCATTGGCCCCTCCGACCATTCACGCACACACCAGACTCATTCTAGGCAATGGGGGTCAAGTGTCTAGCCTAAGGACACAACGGCCGTTTGGCACTTTTCAGCCGCATCCGCCCCACTGTGGCACCTGGTGTCTTTTCGAAGGCTTTTTGCGGCACTGGGATATGTGGAGGTTAGTGTCCAGTTAGTGTCCAACAGAAAGAATTGGTGATGATCAGGACACTTTAGCATTCTACAACATGTATGGACATTTTCTTCTGTGTGTGCTTTATATTTTTCATGTGTTTTAACTGTTGATTCTCTGATCTGTGTTGGTGATTTCAATGGTTTTGTTAAGTCTCTGAGATGACTTCTGTTGTGACCTAGGGCTATACAAGAATACATTGTATTGTATTGTATTGTAAGGGGCTCAGGTAAAAGCGCAGGTCCCCACTGTACTCACAACATGTCGGGACAGTTATCGGGCTTGTCCAGCAGACCTCCCTCCATGACGAAGCGCAACACTTGCTCGTTGGACATGCCCTGGTATGGCTGCTCCGCTAACGTGGAGATCTCCCACAAAACCACGCCAAAGGACCTGGTAAAATGGACACAAGGACACCCCAGATCAGCAAAGTTCACGCGCACACACACACATACCCACACACACTCGCACACACCCTTTCGCACACACACAATAACTGATCAATCAGGCATGGAGCAGGCTTGCTCTTGATGGATTCCCATCCATGGAGCTTATCAGAGAAGCTCTGAGCGCTATGAATTCACAGTGTACTATATGAAGCTAATGATGATGCTAATTATGATGCCATGTGATAATGTGCTAGACAATATGAATTTCTGACTTGATACTTTGGCACAGAGGTGCAAGAAAAAACAGTTGAAAGTTAGGAACTTAACTTACGTGAATGGCTTCACGCTTCCTGGTTTTTTCAAGCTTCCTGGTTTTGTTAATCTCTAGTCTTGGTATGGTTTAGGGTTTATGATTTAGTCAAAACTGAATCTTAATTTCAATGTAATTTGTGAAAATTCAGCTTTGTGTGTTCATGTGAAGATTCCATTTTAAAACAATGCTTTTGAAAAAAGAAAATGAAATATTACCACAACATTTGTATTTTCTAACTATTAGTAATAGCAGCATTTTAATTATAAGTCAAAAACAGATTTATTCTTTGAACCTGCGGCTTATATAGTGATGTTTATGGATGTAATATATGTTTTAGTACCTGTAAGACACTTTTTTTATTGTCAAAATAGATGAAGGTGAATGAGCATGTCAAGGTGTATAAAAAACCTAGTCATTGAGACTAGATTATTATATGAAAATATGTTATTTATATTGACAATGTGAACAATATGTGAACAAAATATACTTTCTTCTAAAATATTGCTTGGACTTATATTCAGGTGCGCCTAATGGTCCAGAAAGGATGGCAATTGTTTCAAGCTCTAAACAATGAAATACCCAAGTAATGGCTAATGATTGAGGAAGGTGAATGTATACTATATATATTTTATATTCAGTATAGAGCTGTCACAATGAAAACATACCCTTAACAATTAATTGTCCCATGAATGATTGTGATAAACAATAATATCGCGACAAATTTTTAAATTGTTTAAGCTTTTGCCACTGCTTTTAAGTCAAACGGCATAATGGGAAAGAAACCACTGACTCTTAGTCTCTGCTAACCAAGACATGACTTTACATATCCAAAATAAATAGACTATATGTCCATTCAAATAACTGGCTTGCTCCCCGTGGCTTCTCGCGGTGTGCCGACACACACACTCTCAGTGGCAAGGGGGCATGGGTTGGACCGGTCACATTATATGCCTCTGATTGGCTCTTGTGCAAAAAGGACGCTGGTTGTCTGCAGTGTCAGGTAGCTAGACTAATGCAAAGAGCGAGCACAAGTTTGCACAAATGGAACTTATCAAGGCTGTCTGACTTATTGTCCTCAATTTTAGTTAACTTGAAGTTTATTGTGACAGCCCTAATATAGCATACATTTTATAATATATATTTTTATTCGAATAAGCTGCCCTTCACTGTCCTGAAGCGAATGTGAGTCAGTTTGTTAAACCTACCACACATCCGACATGGTGGTGAAGACTCCGTCCTTGAGAGACTCTGGGGACATCCAGCGCACTGGCAGCAGGCCCTTCCCACCCTTACGATAATAGTCCGTCTCATAGATGTCCCTTGTCATGCCAAAATCTGCAGCAAAATAAAAACATGAGATTGGCTCAGCTGTGATCCTGTTTCACCAATCTTAAGTTCAAAGCAGTGATTCGACTGCTCTGCACTGGTGTGGGTCTTTGTGAGTGTTGGGTATAGTGGGCTGTTTTGGATGCAGATTCATGACACTTTTGCAAGAGTATGACACCCAAGCCTAGGGTCTCCAAGATGGCGGCCATTCAAGTCAATGGTCTGTGCTCTTTGGTGCATGCTCAAGGTTGTCCAAAAAATTGCAAAAGTTTTACATGTTGGTTAGTGCTGGTCCTCTTGGGAATAAGTGTGCAGTGGTGCACAACTGCTCTGTGTAGTCCACTAAAGATAGTACACATTTGCCATTAAATAACCAAACAATAGACCGACTGCTGATTAGAGTAACAATTAGAGAGAGTTTGATGCACAAACGACGAAAATCTTTCTTTGGGAAAGCTGTAGGTTCCTTGTCAGCTGAGGACAAGCCGCTTCTGCTCACATTGATATCTATGAGAACAGCCCTTGAGATGTAGGTGTCTTTAGAGGAGGTAACCCTCATCCATATTGATGATATCGTTCGACATCAGATCCAAGGTGAGTCCCTGCTCTCACCATGAATCTGATATCCATGTGTGCATACCTCCGATCTTGACCGTGAAGTCTTCAGCCACCATGCAGTTGCGCGCTGCCAGGTCGCGGTGCACAAACTTGTTGGCATTCAGATATGCCATGCCGTCCGCGATTTCCCCCGTCATCTGGATCATCTTCTTCATAGGAGGCAGCACTTGTGTAGTGGAGTTCTGCAGAGAACAGCTCTATTCACAATAGGACCCAACATTTTTGACTGTACACTGACTATAGCCTACTGCGGTCTGGTTTTTCCCCAAAGCATAAATTGACAAAATATTGCTGCTGCTTCTGTGGCTGTTGCTACTGCTACTACTACTACTACTACTACTGCTACTGCAACTACTACTACTACTACTACTTAACTATTGCAATATTATTCAATGTTTGACATAGTAACACAAGTGCTACTAGAACACTTATTACAATGTCTTATGGTCAAGGTATGCTGCAGCTGAATGAAGAATGACTGTCTGACTGCACTGAAAGGCCACAGTGCTACACTTGTAGCCAAAGCACTTTGTCTGGAGGTTAAGGACACGTTGTCCTCACCTGTTTTTCAGTCCTTACCATTGCTACTTGTTTGCTTCTGCCTGTGGCCTTGTGGCTGCACTCTAATTCAGACAGAGTGGACTAGGACACAACGTGGTTCGTTGTCTAGAGGAGATTACCATCTAGAACAGTGGTTCCCAAAGTGGGGGTCCCGACCCCCCGGGGGGTTGCGGGAACTCCTGGGGGGGGGTCGCAAGATGATAAAAAAAAAGCAAATATAGATTAAATATTTATTTAGCATTTGATTTGATTCAAAAGGACTATTTGTTAAATTGTGTTTGGAGACTATAATATATTGTAATAACGTTAGTAATTTTGTCCCAGTCATTGCAGCGTCCGCACATTAAAAGCGGGTGGCAGCTGTATGCTGTTACAGACAGTAACTTTGGAAAGAGAAGCCGTGGGGATGAACCGCATAAAGTAACAGCAGAAAGCGGCGGCCCGCTTTTAATGTGCGGACCTCTTTACCGCTGAGTCCGGGCCACTTTACCGCGGTAGGAGAACAGTGAGGGCGAGCCGCAAGAAATGCGCTCCACTACTGCTAAGAAGGGAGCCCACCAAGCCCATCACTGTGTCACTACATGAGTAAAAATATGCAAGGCTCCTTTTTTGGGCTGGACAGTGCAGCTCAGTAGTGGCGTGAGTCTCTAGAAAGCGTTACTCCGGAAGGAAATACATGCTCATTTCATGTGACGGAAGGGCTGTTGGGGGGGGGGTCGCGGGTTAGCAGGGCATTTATGATGGGGGTCGCGGGCTAAAAACTTTGGGAACCCCTGATCTAGAACATGGGAGAGCTTTCTTTTGGCTCTCTTTTTAGGCAATACTCCTCTAAAAACATGTACAATAGGTCTGATGTATGGGAAAATGAAGGAAGGTGGTGATCGACTATATGTGCCAGATGTTCGGTGTCACAAGGATGTGAATTGTGCTTTTTTAAAAGAAGATTACTTACTTAAAAAAAATAGGGAACACACAGCAGATTTATGAAAATAATGCAGAATAATGATAATAATAATAATGAAATTAAGGATGCTATCCCACATGGTCACATCAAAGCCCTGCAGGCCACATGTTCCCAGAAAGTTTTTCCCCTGGTTTGAGCATAAAGGTCTCTGTAACACTGCTGACAAGTAAGCATAAACAGTGTGTGTGTTGTGGTGGCAGTGGTCAGAGGTCAGAGGTTCTTCAAGAGAATAAAAAACACGCCGCCTTCCAGATCTGTGGCCTGCTGGGTACTTACGCCCCCTTATAGATGTGTGACCTACTGTGTACTTATGCCCCCTTACAGATGTGTGCCAGGCCTGCTGGGTACTTATGCCTCCTTACAGATTCAGATTCAGATTCATTTATTACATCGTCTCCCAAGGCAGAAAGTAGTCTTGGAGCAGGGGGGAACAGATGTTTGGTAGACCTGCTGGGTACTTACGGGCTTCCGCAGCGAGCGCAGGTGGCTCTTGAGGTCTCCGCGGGTCATAAGCTCCATGATGACCAGAGTAGGTTGTCCTTGTGAGACCACGCCCAGCAGCCGCACCTGATCAATCACAGAGCACAGCAATGAAATCGATCACAGTCACAGTATCATCATGTGGTAGTGATCATAGACAGTATATACAGTAGATAGAAGGACACTTGCTCTTGCTTCTCATGATTGAAAAGTAAACGTCTCCAGCTCAGTAACTGTTAGTATCACACTCACCATTTTGGGATTAAAAATATGAGGTGTGGCGCTCTCTGTGATCCTTTTTATTTTGAAATCATCTTTGTTAATCCATAAATGGACCATAAGGATTGATCAACCAGATTCCTTCATTTGCAGGGGAAACTCAAGCTTGCCTTGCCTCAGCACTCAATGCGAAACATTCTTTGGATATATCTGCCACAAATCTAACCTGGTCTTGAACACATACCCATATAAGGAAATTGGCTTTTGCAAATACTATTTTGCAAAGTCTATAGCAGTGACCCAGTTTTGCAGCTCTCATATTTCACTGGTTAGAATACATTTCTGAACAGCAACTTTGGTTTGAATTAAGACAATATTGTCAGGTTTGCATATCTTTATTAATGTGATCAAAAAAGTTAACAAAAAACAAAAATCATGAATTATGGTTTTCCAAATTGAGTGGCTGACTCCAAATTTATAATAAAATCCTCCTTGTCCACTAATAATGACCTTTTATGAGGAAGCGCCCATTTTGGTATTGTAAAATGAAGGTCATTTTCAATGCAACTTAGTGTACGTCAATAAGAATGCCAAGAGAAATAAAAGGAGGTAGGCGTTTTGTTTCCTTACCACATGGTGACAGTTGAACTCTTTCATGACCGAGGCTTCATTCAGGAACTCGATGCGTTCCCTCATGCTGGCCACCTCGTTGACCGTCTTGATGGCCACTCGGGTCTCGGGCTCATCCTTGACCACACCCTTGGCTGTCCCTTCGTACACCATGCCAAAGGAACCCTGGCCCAGCTCGCGGTGCATGCTGATCTTCTCCCGGGCCACCTCCCACTCGTCTGGCATGTACACTGTCACACACACAACTGCTGTCAGAAGGCAAGCGAGGGAACTTTGACAACTTAACTGGCTCTAAGATAGTGAACTGTCAGCAAAGGTCATATCGCTTTCTGTAGGCCATGGTTTGGTAATTGTCTCTGACCAAATGATCATGTGAAGAGGGTTTAGTGTCCAACAGAACTTACTCTCAGCTGCACTGAAATACTCGGGGTTCACAGAGGCATACAGCACACCATTGCCCAGGCGGTCACTGCTCCTGTAGGCAGGTGGAAGAAGAAAGGTAAGCATTCTGTTACAAACATTTTTGAAAGAAATGAAAGGACTTATCTTCAAGTTATTACTCTAGTAAAGATTATATTCAAAAGTAAAGTTATTTGTGGCTACAGACTTGAGACAGATGTATTCACTAAGTTCAATGTTTTTTGAGTTTAAAGACATATTTATCTAGTTAGACGAATCAGGCAACAAAACAAGCAAGATTTGTCTTGCTTGTTTTGAAGCAAAAACTAGTCAAAAGAGAAGGGGCGGCGCGGTGGCTGAGTGAATAGCACTCTCGCCTCTCAGCAAGAAGGTTCTGGGTTCGAATCCCGGTCGGAACAGGGCCTTTCTAAGTGGAGTTTGAATGTTCTCCCCGTGTCTGCGTAGGTTTCCTCTAGGTACTCCGGTTTCCCCTACCACTAAAATCCTGTGCAATAGTTCAGGGTGAATGAGTGTGTGTTTATGAGTGCGAATGGAAATTAGCCCATGACTACAATCCGGAGTGATGTGTTCATTAACATATACTGTCCCAACCAAATAAATAATAAATAAATAAACTATCTGAACACTAAGACAACAAAGTCTCAGAAGACAAATATCTTAGAATCATTTTGGACTCGCAGTTTAACTTCCAAAGCCATGTTAAAAAACTGTGAAACTGTATGATCAAACATGAATTGCTTCAAAAGGATTATTTACTCCCGTAGCCATAGAACAACGATCGTAAAATTGTAATGAACATGATCAGTTGGTTTGGCTCCCCATGTAAAACTTTGGCTCAGTCTGTAGGGACTAGGTCACCAGGAGTAGAACTACCGAGTCAAGTTTAGTATGAATCAGACTTTGTATGTGTAAACCATAGACTGTATATATTAACGGACAGAGTCACGCCTATTTCTGCCGTTCTAACTAATGGGCCAAAAAATGTGCTCTACTGGAGCAATCCAAAATGGCCGCGAGTGGTCCAGCCCACAAGAAAATTGTGAAAAAACGCATCTGCGCATGAGTCAGCCGGCGCAACTCCATTCATTTGAACGAGAGATTAAAAAAATTCACAGCAAGTAAACTAGAGTGGACCAAAAAAAATCCACCCCCCTCAGCATTGACACACATGTGGAACGGAGCTTTGGGCCATGAGCCAACTTTTGGTCCATCCTGTAAGGACGTTTTTGAGAGGTCTGCCAATGCTATATGTTAGCATTGGCTAATTCTACTTCTGGGTCCACCCCCATCGGCCCGGGGTGGTATTGCAAGCATGTCAGCGCACGTCATTTTGGCCACTTTTGAGCTGGGACCCTCCCCCACTGGTGTAAACAGGAGCACATGTATAACACAAGTTGACAGCCATCAAATGGTCAGGGGTTTCTCAACTGATTGAGACTAATTGTGGTGTTTTGAGTCCGAATATCACATGCATCAGGTCAACTTTTTGAGATACAGCCATAGTGTTACGGATTACGTACGTCTACGTTACGTTACATTACGAGCAAATGTAACGTTTTTTTATTCTACTTAAACAATACAAAATTCAAAAACAGACAGGTAAGTGACAAGCATACACGGTACAAGACATACAAGAATACATAGAATACAGACAGGGACAGTGAACAAAGTTTTGTGTAGATGTGTGTGCATGTGCGTGGTGTGTGAATGTGTGTGTGTGTGTGCGCATGTGCATTGCTTACAAATATAAAAAGAGAAAAAATTAAAGAATAAATAGTAATAATATGTATAATACTAATACCACTACCACCATCAATATTAACAATAATATTAATAATTATAATGAAAACCATAACACTAGCAACAGGAGGGTGGCCGCCACTGCCTTCCCCACCGACGATGTCTGATTCCTGATGGGTGTAGTGCATGGATCTTCTGCTCCCTGATCCCCCATCCCCTCCATATAGGTTCTTGTTCCTGCTTTGTGTTATCCTTATGTACAGGTGTCTAATGTGCATTAAAAGAGGACATATTTTGAGGGTGCCAACCTAGGATGGCGGCGCCTCCTAAGGGCACTTCTCAACTGTCCTGATTCCTACAAGTCTATTCAAGTGTTTGTTTATATATATATTTTTTTTATTGTTATTTTTATTTTTATTTTTTTTATTATGTGGGGGGGTGAGGTGCATTAAAAACAACATGGGTGGGGGTGAACCAGGGAGAGTATGTATGGATTCAATGATTGTCTTGTGGTGCTGAAGGCAAAGACAGCGGCAACCAACCTCCCGCAGCAGCTTCGTAGTATCAGTAGTAGTAGTAGTAGTAGTAGTAGTAGTAGTAGTAGTAGTAGTAGTGGCAGTAGTAGTAGCAGTAGCAGTCAGTAGCAGTAGCTGTCACAGTATGAAGTAGTGGCAGCATTATCAGATAACAGTAATAATCATATATAGAAGTTACGGCAGTGGAATATTATACGAGCTATTTAGTGTTTTAGTGGAAGGAGGTAGAGTGAAAAAAGATGTTATAAGTAAATGAGTGAGCGAGTGAAATAATTTTGTTGCTGTTAGTTGGTGATTTAAAGAAGGGAAAGGTCCGGCAGTGTTGGGAGTGAGGGGTTGGACTCTGAAGGATAATTGCAGGGGGGTGATGATGAACATTCCAATGAGATGAAGTCTGTGAAAAGGTTTTTCCAGTGGTTTATATTTATGTTATTGCGGGATTTCCAGTTTACAAAGATGGTTTTCTTGGCGATGGTTAAAGCTATCAAAAGTGTTTTAAAATTTATGGCTTTATCAGTGATCATTGATAGATCCCCTAGCAGGCAGAGGGGGGGGGGGGTAATGGGATGCGGCAGCCCAGCAGGGATGACAGTGACCGTGTGACCTCTTCCCAAAAGTGTTTGATGGGGGTGCAGTTCCAGGTAGCATGAATGTATGTATCGGGACAGTTCTGAGTGCAGTGTGGACATATGTCTGATGTGAAACCCATTTTAGCAAGCCTACTACCGGTGTAGTGTGTTCTGTGCAGTGTCTTGTATTGTATTAATTGAATGTTGGCATTTTTGGACATGTAGGAGATATTTTTACAAATCTGGGACCAGGAGTTAGCATCGGGAGCAATTGACAGGTCATTTTCCCATTTTGTTGTTGGCAAGCATATTATTTTGTCTGAATTTGAGATTTTGTATATTTTAGAGATTAATTTTGTGTTGAGCAATTCTGATACGGCAGGTGGAGTTTGCAGGTGTGATGATCCAATGTTTATTTTTGTTAGGACTGATTTAAGCTGAAGATATTTCAAAAAATGATTGCTCCCTATGCCAAACTCCTGGGCCAGACGTGGAAACTCTTTGATTGTGTTTGAAGTGAAAATATGGTTCATGTGAGTTATACCTTTTTCGGCCCATGTGCGGAAGTAGAGTGTTTTTTTATTGCTGGTGAAGTCTGGGTTATTCCATAGTGGAGTGAGGTTAGAGGGGGCAAGTGTTGAGTTTGTGATGTGGTGGTATTTCCACCAGGCTGTCAGAGTCGAGGCTATTGTTATTGCTTTAAAGCATGTGTGCTGTTTAATAGATTTGGTGAGAAATGGGATGTCGGCTATATTTAAGTCCTTACAGAATGATTGTTCAGTGTCTAGCCAAATTGTGTCTGATTGCGTGGGGTGGGTCCATTTATATATATATTGTATTTGATTTGCAAGTGAATAATTCAGGAAGTTTGGTGCCTCTAAACCACCATGGGTTTTTTGTTTTTGCAGTGTGGTAAGCCTGGACTATTTTCAAAAAATATCTTTTTGTTACCCAGTGTAATCTGTGAATGTGTGTCCATATATAAACAGTCTCCATTGTATGAACATGTGACTAATCAATATTCTATGAACAACTCTTGATGGTAAATGTGTTGAGATGATTTGGAACGATTTTCAACCCAATCGGTGAAACGGGCTGGTTGGATGTTTGTGCGAGGTGTACATTTGACATTGACATAGGATGGGGAGCGTTTGTCGTCGCCACAGCAACAGGGTAAAAAATAAGTCTTGGGTCTCATGGACTTTTTGAATCAAGAGGGCAAAACAGAGGGATAGTGGCTCAGTTGGTAGACGCCTTTGAGCCTGAAGGTTGTGGGTTCGAGCCCACCACGAGACCTACTTCACGACTCCCACTGATTTCTGCTGTCATTGTGTCCTTGGGCAAGACACTTAACCCCACTTTGCCTGAAGCCCTTGCTCCTGTGGGCTCACCACCTGCAGGAGGATCAGTGAGGGGCTGGTGTTCTGTGTACTGGGTGCAGCTCTGACTGCCACCTCCCCGACCCAGAAATGGATTAAGGGGAAGAAGATGGATGGATGGATGGAGGGCATAACTGAATTTTGTGCAAAATTTCAAACATTTTGAGAAAAATAAATGTCATTATCCCCATGTAAAACTTTGACATAGTCTGTAGGGGGCGCCAATTTCAATTATTTCACTTTCAAATGATCTAGACCCTGGAGTTGAACAATGGATTAAAGTGATAGCCTGTAACTCTAAATGAATTACACATTTTAGGAAATGTGTTAAATTGACCTCCTGGCCTTAAATGTTGATATAAAATAAGTCATTTTATTAATTCTAATATTACAGGTAAGTCCCGCCTTCACTTCTCTTAGCTATAGCTCAAGATCCACGGTGCCGTCGAGGTTAACCAATCGAGTCCTGCCAAGGGCTGTCAATCATCAGCGCTGATGCTCGCAGCTGCGCGCATGCTCAGTTGTTTGTTTTTGCAGAACCTCTGAATCAAGCCTCTATTAGGCTCCGGAACTACATGAAAACTGAACAAAGAATTCTGAACATCCGCGCTGAGGTACTTATGTATATACTGAACCTATATCCATAATCAGATCCTCTGCAGATGTGTCCTATAATGTGCAATTCATGATAATAGCACTTCCTGGTTTGCCGCGATCGCTTTTTTGTGCATAAAAACATTATTTTTTTCATTAAAACGTTTTTTCATGTCTTGATATGTGGTACATGTGTACCAAATTTTGTGGCTCTACAACAAACTTGTACCCTCTCCCATAGGCGCCATGTAAACTGACTTTTGTAGGGTGCGCTGTTCTGGCATTTTTTTTGTCCCAAAAATAATCACCAAACAAGTTATTTTATTTGCCAGTTCTGAATTTTTCATGCATGTTCAGGGGGTCAAATAAAGGTTCAAAGTGCAGAAGAATTTTTCGAAAGTCTCAGAGCAAAAACAATATAGGTTTCAATGGCACCTGATACATCATTTTAAAGCGTTTGAGTTTACGCACGCAACTGTCACGTTTTGGTGCGTGACGGACGCGTCAGCGCCCGTCACGCACCGCGACCCCTTGCATCCACCATTGTGAAAGCAATAGGCCCTTACCCCAGTCGGGGCTAGGGCCTACAAATAATAAAACCACTGTTTGCCAGAATGCTGAATTTAAAATGGTGCATTATGGAAGTTATTACTTCTAAAAAGTTCACATTTTTGCATGTTTGTCCTTGGAGTGGCTGTAAGAATGGCATCATGATTCCTTTTTTCAAAATGGACATTTAGGAAATGAGAGACGTACAAATGATCAAACACTAGTGCAAGGCTTTTATATAGTGCTTTGCAAATCCATCATGCATTATTCATGTAAGGCCTGACCTCTTCTTGCTCATGTAGAAGAGTCCCGTGATGATAGCAGCAATGATCAGCGTCACAATGATGGGCAGGATGATGACCAGATACAGCTTCTCCGTGTTGTCTCCTGTTCAAACAGCAAAAAAGCATGTCTCCTGTTCAAACAGCCCAAGCATAAGGCATAATTTGGAAACATCATTAACATTCACTTTTCAATCAACACGGACTATGTTGTTAACTACACTTTTGTGTGACAAGAACTTTTTTTTCTGCCGAGAATTGTTACAAGAATCTGAAAGAGACATTCATGCTTTTGATTCCAATTTAGCGTTGCAAGATTAGAATTATTTCGTAGTATTGTGTTACTTATTAATAACTGGCCCAATATATAGACAACTTTTTGGCTTCTGATAAGAAAAACTAACTAAAAAAAGGCTTGGCACAGCTGACTCTGATTGGCAGAATATGGTGATTGACAGGAGGAGGAGGCGGGCTCACGTTTGGGTGGGGGCACGTAGAAGGTGACTTTCTCGGTCCATGATCCGTTTCCAGCCAGAGACCTGGCTCGTACCCGGGCAGAGTAGTTCCCAGGGCCCAGCTGAGAGAGGCGGGCCCCCCAGTGCAAGCGGTAGTGCTTCTGCGACACACACTCGGGCTTCTCGGCCTGAAACATAGTGGTTCAGAACCATGGGAGCACAGACAGCAGACATGCAGATTAGACTTCAGATGATATGAAAGTACTTCCACTTTCTGCTTGGGCCCATTTAAGTGTTGTTGTTTTGTGACAGTAGCTCAGTTGGTAGAGAATTGGCCTTTGAGTTGTGGGTTGTGGGTTCGACCCTAACCCTTGGGCAAGACACTTAATCCCACTTTGCCTGAAGCCCCCACTGAAAGATCTCAGCTCCTGTGGACTCACCACCTGCAGGAGGATCAGTGAGGGGCTGGTGCTATGTGTACTGGGTGCAGCTCTAACTGCCACCCCCCGACCCAGAAATGGAATAAGGGGAAGAAAATGGATGTACAGTATTGATGGATGTTTTGCATGAATATTTCAACGGCAATTAACTTTTCCATGTGCATTGGAGACAGTGATACAAGTGACACTTCTGTAGGGGGAATGGAAATTACCCCTTTTCCCAAATGTCTAACAACAGTGAACCTGGAAGAGTCTCTCTCCCTCTCTTTTTGCATTGTGTTTTAAAACAAAGACTTATCCACATAACTTTGGGTCACCTCTTACAATGTATGCGGCCCTTCCTCCGCACTGACAAGATGCTTATCCTCCCTGTATTCCGGGGGGGACACGGCCCAAGAAATGACAAAACTTCAGGTATGTGACCAAATAATCGGATTTACAGAACACCGTGATCGTGCCAGTACAGCTTGAACCTTTTTGTCATGTTAAAACCACACAAAGCAAAGTTATACATGAAACAAGCTGGGGTTTGCATAAGTAACCATGCTGCATTTAGGGGCGACAGTAACTCAGTTGGTAGAGCATTGGCCTTTGGGCCTGGAGGTTGTGGGTTTGAGCCCACCATGGGACATGGGACTCCAACAAATGTCTACTGTCGTTGTTCCTTGGGCAAGACTTAACTCCACATTGCCTGAAGGCCCCGCTGAAAGACCAAGGCTGTTTCACCACTGACGGAGCAGCCATCTTCCTGTGGACTCACCACCTGCAGAGGATCAGCGAGGGACTGGTGCTATGAGCATTGGGTGGCAGCTCTCATTGCCACCCGATGCAGAAATTGACTAATAAAGGGTTTGAAAATTAATAAATGAATACTTTGTGGAACCCCCTTTTGCTGCAACTTAACAGTGTTGTGCCAGTTCACAGCTTTTCTGAACCAGTTCAAGTTCAGTTCATACATGCTCAAAGTGAACAGTTCACGTTCAAAGTTCACAATTTTAATTCTGAACTAGTTCAAAGTTCAGTTCTTTTTACTTTTTTCGTGAGATATTCAAATAAATACTTTCTTCACACTACAAGCTAGAAATCACTATACGTGATTATATATACAGTAATATATATATATATATATATATATATATATATACACAGGGTGCGATTTGTCAAAAAAACAGAAGGGGGGATAGTTACTCAATCACTTTATTGCATAAAAATCACATACATTTCATGCTGTTGAACTTGAAACTTGTAAGATGTGTTCTGTCTAGTAGTAACTCAGTGTGAGTGTGTGCACGTGCGTGTGTGTGTGTGTGTGTGTGTGTGTGTGCGTGTGTGTGTGTGTGTGCTTGGCGCGAGCGTGCGCGCTGCTGGTGGAGCGAGCAGAGGGTGAAGTTACCGCATTAACAATTGTATACCGCTTTGAGACTCAGATCTGCAGTGAAAAGGCGGTATATAAATAAAAACTTACTAACTTACTTACTAGTTGATGCCTCTGCTTGCAGGGCGTCCGGAGAAAATTAGGGAGCGAGACGAGTGTTTAACGTGACATTACGGCCCAAACTCGAAAACAACAAACTGGTGTGCTTATTAGAGTCACACACACTAACAGTAAACCCTGTTGGAGAAAGAGTCCTCCAAGACGCATGAACTAACGGATGCCTGAACTTTGAACATATGTTCTTATTTGTTTTAACAAAACAGTCTGCTCTGATTATTCATTTGCGGTGCTTTTTTTGGCTTTCCTGTGGGTTGATCGTTCGCTGCGTGCCGCCCCTCATTTTTTATCCACATCTCAGCATACACATGAGCAGGGAAGGAGGTTATGTCAGGCCCATTGATTGAAAGAAACAGGAGAGCATTCAATGTGCATATTTGCATTCTATTCCTTTCGTCTGTAAGTGCGCGGTTCATTGCGCTGAATCCGCGCTCGCATTCTGCAGTTGACACCGGCAACGTAGAGACAGCGGTGAGGATGTACTGCATGCGTGCACCTGTCAAATAATAAAAATAAAATTAATGTAAATTTGACGTAGAGGAGTGAGTTTCTTCATAAAAGTTGTTACTGCTTAGAATAGACAGTTGCTTTACCTGTGATCCCATGGCATTTGAGCTCGTGGAATTCTTTTAAGAGGATGGCATTGCTTTCTCCGATGTCGACAGCAAGTTTTTTTTGGATCGCGAGCAGCTTCTCGTCTCCATAGAGAATACGCTCATCCTCGTCAGGTGGCCAATTGGACGGGTTCAGAGCGGCAGAGGCAGAAATAATGCCATTGTCATCAAGCCTGCGCTGAATGTTCTCTGCGAGTGACGTATAAAAACCTTCGCGAAAGACCTCTGCCTTTCTTTTATCTCTGTCGCTTGGTTGAGACACATTGACTCCTTTGAACGTTTCTGAAGCCTCGTATTCCCCATGTAGGCGTTTTGCGCTTGTGCCATCCACTTGTCTCATGGCTCCAAGCGCTCTCACAGCAACGTCCACTTCAGTGTTGGCAGTGACTGCTGTTGCGTCTCTCCTCTGGAGAAAGAGAGATAAGGCCTGCAGGGTTTCCAGTGCGTCTTTCACGAATGCCATCTCCTCCAAAAAAAGCCACTGGGTCATTTTCTTATGAATCCCGCTGCATTTTGCCCTCTCTGAAGACGGTCTGGAGCCGTCTTCCGCCAGTGTCCCAAACATCTTAACGAGAGCAGGATAGCTTTCCCAGAGAGCTGTAACGGATGTGCAGGAAGATGACAGCCATCGCACGTCAAACACCCGTCCTATTCTGCGTGCTTGTATTCCCAAATTGGAAGCGGTGAGCTCAAGTTCACGCATGTGTTTTGGGCTCTGGCTGAAATATGCATAGAGGGAGTCAATAAATATTTGAAAATGACTCGCGTCTGTACATTGTTTTACTGCGTCATGGACAGCAAGCTCCAATTTGTGGCTCATGCAATGAATCACGGTCAGGTTGGGATTTATCTTCTCCCGCAGTAGTGTTGCTGCTCCTCTGTATTTGCCCATCATGGCAGCAGCCCCGTCAGGTTTTATTTGACGCAGTTGTACTTTCATCAATGAGAATGCTAAATTTATGGGTGGATTTTTTAATGAAGTCTGACAACTTGCCTGTCATTTTGTCTGCAATAAATATGAGCATATTGCGACAGGCCTTATCAGAATGCAGCATTTGCCCCAGGTCAACACCATTAAGCTTTTGGAGTTCCACCAGTTGTGGTTGAATCTTGAATGACAGGTCGTTTTTACATATCATATATGCAGTGCGCATGCAGAATTCCGTTGTTTTTAATTTTTTCTCGTTGCATTTCCTCCATAATGCCATATTATTGTCCACACCCTTTTCAATGGCCATTTCACCTCTTTTCTGAATAATTTCTACACATTTTACATGTGACTGACACTTTGCGTGTTTGCTGATTTTGTCATGGAGTTTTTTAGCAGACTTTGTTTTTACTCCTTTAACAAATGCGGGGTCAATGTGGAGTCTTTCTTTAGTGTGAGGACCCAACTGTCCAATGTCTGAGCAACATTTACATTGCACTGCCCTGTCTGCGTTAAGCGTAAGCCACTTTCTTTCTATTCTCCATCTGTCAAAACGTCCTTGGTCAATGCAGCCGCCTACCAGAGCATCGGGAAGGGAGCTAGCTTGGAGTTGGAAAGCATCTTCATCTGTGTCATTTCCAGTTGGCGAAACTGGATTATTTTTCTCCACACTATTGTGTGATGCGTCTTGTGTGTCAAGATCACTTCGCAATTTTTTGGATCCTGCAAAAAAAGACGATATGCTGCTCTGAACACGCTTCATTTTGTAAACCGTTATGCTAGGCTATTACCCTGAAATGTAACTATTTATTGCGTGATGACGTAACTTAAAAAATAGCGCGATTACGTCATTATTTATTTATCATGTATTGTGTCAGTAGGGCCCTGACGATTGACAGATAGGCCCGGACTCTGCATTTGACTCGCTGAGCGGAGCTCATGGCGTCTTGTCTTAACAGCTCTGGCGGGGATGGATCTGCCTTGTAACCAGGACTATCTATAGCAGAACTTTGCAAACAATCGTGGCATTGTGGATTATGTTATATATATATATATATATTTTTTTTAGGAATGCCTGTGTGTTTTGGGCTGAATATAAGCGCGCACAGCCCCGTTCAATGCGTAATGATCCAGCCGATAGCCTACTCCGAGGCAGATAATTATATATGAGACGCATAGGCCTATGTTACGTGTTCCTCTGTATAAAACTATACTGTATTTTGGATAGCATTCAGCGAGGAGCAGCGAGGGAGACAGGAGAGACTCCCCAGACCCTCACTCTCTGCAGCAGACCCCGTGCGCAGCAAAGCCGCTAAAGCAGCTCTCACCCGCGTCTCATGTAAAATGAAATAAATTGGCCAGCAGGTGCACGGACCTTGAACACACAGCCAATTTTATAATTCTATCCCCCCCTACGTTTAATACAATAATACAGCAGAAGTAGGGATAGGGATAAAAGAAACAGAGACGGGGACAAGAAAACCAGAAGGGGGGAAAATCCCCCCCATCCCCCCTAGCAAATCGCACCCTGTATATACACATACAACATGAGAGCCTTTTGACTCCAAAACAGACATGGTTTTGCATGGGAGCAAACAGAGTTGTCCCATCTCTGCTCATAAGTACAAACAGTAATGCGCTGCAGTGCGTGTGCCTATACTTTATGTCAAATGTAAACGGCCTTGTGTCGCTGACTCACCCTCTGTTTTCATCACCCTCTGTTTTAATTACAGCACAGCACCCTCTGTTTTAATCACAGCACATGTGAGTCCAACAACCCATGAAAAGCACTAGCATACAGCGCCGCACCGCAACACGGAGTCGGGGTGCTTTCACAGACGGTGGTAACCGGGGGATTTTTTAGTTTTCGGCGGAAAAGGTGCAGAGAATACAGGAGGGAGGAACTTTCTCTCGTTGCGTTTCAAAAGAGAAAGCAGATGCCACTCAGTTTTCAATGGAAAACACATTGTCTGCCGTTCATGACATATAATGTGAACTAATTCACGTTCAAGTTCTTTATAAAAAAATGTGTTGTAAACAGCTGTTTTCAAAGATATTCACTTGTAGGTCTGGACTTTGACTGAAAAGACTTGATGTTTAGAGAAGTGGGCCGGACGGAAGGTATACACCCTCTTCAGCCATAAGACTACTAAACCGGGCGTAACTCTGTTTTGTTTTACTCTATTTTATTGTGTGTTCCGAATACTGTATTGAACATCTGCTGGAGAAACAAAAGAATTTCACTGCATGTGATGTGTATGTGGCAAACAATACGCCAGACACCCCCGTATGTTTGACATAATTGACATGGTATGTTAGTTTTGAGCCATACCAATTGGTCAAAAAAGTCCCCTGGGTGAGCTGTGGATGTCTGCTGCTCCTCTTTACCATGGGCCTCTTGTCTGAATATGTGATCAAGACAGCAGAGTCTTGGTAGATTTGAAGGTGAGGTATATTTAATAGCTAGGACATGCATTCTACGTCATTATGGACAAATGCTGTATGTTCACTCACTGTACTGGATACAGCCCCCTTTTCAGTTAAAAAAAATCATAATTTTTTACTGTGGTCTTTCAGTAGGACAGCAGTACCACTCGCAGGTTGGCTGGTATTAAACCACTCAATTCGTGATGGCTGCCATGTGTCCTTGAGCAAGAAACTTACCCGCATCGCCCCCAGTGTCTGTGTACACTGGTGTATGAGTGCGTGATTGGTTGCTTGATGTGAAGCACTTTGAGTGCCTTGAAAAGGTAGACATTTATATACCTTTTATCAAAGGTATATAAATGTTACCATTTAACCTTTGAAAAAAAATCCAAACTACAGGCACTATATAAAATCCTCTGCAAGCACAAAATGACTTCAGACATGATCCTGCCCCACATCGGGCCCATATAAGGGCATGCACAGTGACTTTATGAATGAGATTTGTGTGAAGATGAGGCAGAGGCTATATAAATAGTAGTAGCAACTATAAGTTGTTGCAAAATACACACATATGAAATTCCTGTGGGATAAAAAGTAAGAAAGCTAAATTTTGGATTCAGTCTTGTGAAGAAAGACCTCTGCTTAATTAGCCTAGAAAAGGCTTCATGTTTGTGCAGTTGATATGACGCTGCAGCTTCTGACCTCGGAACCCAGCTTGTACTTGATCTCGTACATGAGCACCACTCCGTTGGGCATGACGGGTTCAGGCCAGTGAAGCAGGACACTTCCCTCTGCCTTGTCGTCCATCTGCACCTCCACTCGGCCAGGGATGTCATCGGCCTTCGCTGTGACACAACACACATAGACACACACTCAATGAACACACAACAACCGTAACTGCAACACTGCAACATTCTGGATCCACTTGATCAATGAGGATATGTTGCACTGTGATGTGACCGTAGTTCTTACCAGCTGGTTTGGTCCTGGCAAACACAAAGTCGGAGGCACTGCAGCGGCCCACCTCTTCGTTGCATGCGTGCACATCAATGCGGTAGACTGTAAAGGGCCGCAGCTGGAAGATGTCCAGCTGCTCCGCCCGGGTTCTGTCCTCCGAGAAGGGAAACTCTCTGACAGGAGGCATTCCCATTGTACTGTTGTCCCCGACTACTACGGACATGTTCGCCTGTGTGCCGTTATCTGCGCCAAACAAGTCCCTACGCCGACGATCCGGAGGTCTGAGAACAACAACGCAAACATTTATTACTTTGAAGGATTTCAATTTTACTTTTTAGATGTAGGTAATTTTAACATGGATATACTTATTTGCCTATCTGACCTGACCTATTTCACTATTCACTTCTGTTTATGTTGTTAGTAGTCCTCTATTTCTAACTAAGTTTCAGGGCTCCAGCTTCTTTTTCACGCAACATTTCTGAAATAACTGTGGTGTCTAAAGGGTTCAGACAGTAAGAAAACAAATGTTATTTACACATAGCAGTTCTACGACCAGAGTCACAAAATGCTTCAGAATCAGAATCATTTTCACTGCCATGTGAGTAACAGGAAGTCACAAACTAGGAAATTGCTTTGGCTCTCGGTGCAAATAACTTAAAGCAGAATAAAAACAAGAAGGCATGCATAAACAAACATCTACATACATTTCTTCAGTGTACTGAATACAAGTGCACTAGGTGCACACAATAAACCCTTAAGAGTGTGGTAGAGTGTAGTAAAGTGACAGTAGAAGTGACGGTCATAAAGTCAGAGGTCAGAGGTCAGTGGTGGATAATGAAGAGTTCATGAGTCCAACAGCAGAATGGAAGAAACTATTCTTGTGGTAAGAGGTTCTGGTCCTGATGGACCGTAGTCTCCTGCCTGAAGGGAGTGGTTGGAATAGTCCATGTGCGGGGGTGAGAGGGGTCGGCAGAGATTCACATACAACACTAAAACAAAAATAATAACACCCCTACAAATATGATGCAGTAGCATACATGTAGCAAGAAAGCCTTTAATGTTGAACCTCTTTGAAGCTCGTTGAAGCTCTTTACATGAGACCATGTGTTAAACAGCTGTTTACCATGATGTTCAAGGGACATGCATCCTTTTAGCTATAGTCTCTCCGAGGTTCCTCATACAGCTTTACAGCTTAGGTTTGCCATGGTACTGACTTTAAAGAGGTGCAAACAATACTATCCATTTGTCACCTCCAGTATCTCTCCTTAAAGCCTTTATGGAAGGTCATAAATCTAGGGATAATATTGGACACAGACTTAAATTTTAATAGCCACATCAAATCAGTAACAGTAACAGCTTTTTATCATCTAAAAAACATTGCCAAAATAAAAAATAATAAAGTGTCCAAGGCAGACCTAGAGATTCTTATCCATGATTTTGCCTCCAGTAGATTAGATTACTGCAATGGCCTGCTCACAGGTCTCTCAAAACAGGCTGTAAAACAGCTGCAGAATATTCAAAATGCTGCATCTCGAGTCCTGACTAGAACCAGGAAGTACGACCACATCAGTCCCATTCTCAGGTCTCTGAACTGGCTTCCTGTGGGTTGAGAATAGACCTTAAAGCAGCTCTGCTTGGCCTCCCACCAAAGTACATCTGTGACATATTAGTGCCATATGAATCGGGTGGAACTCTGAGGAGAACTGGGACAGGCCTCCTGCTGGGACTCTGAGGAGTACCGGGACATACCTCCTGCAGGTGCCCAGAGTCAGGACTAAAATCTGGAACAGTCTCCCTGAAAATGTGAGAGACAATGTTCAAATCCAGGTTAAAGACGGTTGTTTGCCTGTGCATACGACTGAAGGATTTTCTCTCTATTTTTAAGGCATTGTGGTTAGGCCCGAGCCCCGACTGGGGTAAGGGCCTATTGTTTTCACAATGGTGAATGCAAGGGGGCGCAAAACGTGACGGTTGCATGCGTGAACTCAAACGCTTTAAAGTGATAGTATGTAACTCTAAATTAATTACAAATTTTAAGAATTGTAGTAAATTGACCTCCTGGCCTTAAATGTTGATATAAAATAAGTCATTTTATTAATTCTAATATTACAGTTAAGTCCCACGTTCCATTCTCTTAGCTATAGCTCAGAATCCACGATGCCGTCCACGTTAAACAATCGAGTCATGCCAAGGGCTGTCAATCATCAGCGCTGATGCCCGTACCTTCGCATCTGGCTCAGTTGTTTGTTTTCGCGGAACCTCCGAATCAAGCCTCTATTAGGCTCTGGAACTTCATGAAAACTGAACAAAGAATTCTGAACATCCGCGCTGAGTTACCTACAGTATGTATATACCGAACCTATATCCATAATCAGATCCTCTGCAGATGTGTCCTATAATGGTCAGTTAATGATAACAGCTTCTTCCGGGTTTGCCGCAATAGTTTTTTTGTGCATTAAAACATTTTTTTTTCATGAAAACGTTAACAAATAATTCTGAAAACCTCCGTGCATGTGTATTAATAATTTATATGTATAATGTGTTCTCTCATTAACATTTAAATGTGTTATGGAAACGTAGGTGTAGACCAATCAGAAAGGAAGGGGAAGGGAGCTTGCGTCGTTTTTTTCAAATCAAGTACCTCTCTCTCTCTCTCTTTCTGACAAACTGCAGAGAATCACTTTAAAATGATGTATCAGGAGCCATTGAAACCTATATTGTTTTTTCTTGGAGACTTTAGAAACATTTCTGCACTTTGAACCTTAATTTGACCCCCTGAACATGCATGAAAACTTGCCAAATTTTGCCCAAAAGTCAGAACCGGCAAAATAATGCCAGAACAGCGTACCCTACAAAAGTCAGTTTACATGGTGCCTATGGGAGGGGTTTGTTGTAGAGCAGGGGTCCCCAAACTTTTTCCTGTGAGGGCCACATAACTTTTCCCTTCTTCGATGGGCTCCGGGTCAGTTTGTAACATAAAAAGTGTGATGATTGCAAGAGTGCCTAAACATAAAAAAATATTGTTTTCCTGAAAGCACAATCAAATAACCCTCTCTGGGTTCTACACTATTTATGAAATAAATAATTATAATAATTAATAACCAAAAACTAAAATTACATAGAAAATAAAATGTCCTCAGTCTGAAAAAGCAGCAGATGAAATCCCACAAGATTTACATTAACACAACATAAGTACATCACTTAATATAAAAAGGAATCTAATATAAAAATAAAAAAAATAAATGACCCTTAAAAAAGGTGTAACGGGCGAGATGGTTTACGTCCATTTTTCTCTAACAATTAAACTTGAAAAAAATAAATCTGGTCTGTTTTCACTTCTAATTGGTTGACCATATAAAATTATCACTTTGTTTCTACTCTATGTAAAAAAAATAGAATCTCCTAATCAAATGTGGAAATCTGAAAATACCTATCAAACTTCTGCAAAGCTCATTCTGTCAAATCATCGACGTTACATAAAATAAACAGGGCCGCTGTAGGAAACTTGTCTAATGTATAAAACGGTTATGTTCTAGAAACTTCTAATGGACAGAGGAGGTGTTTGGATATATGAAAAACAATTAATATCTTCGGATAATCAAAATCAAGTTTTGTCACACTTTTGTGCCCTTGAACCCCGATATGAAAATACTCTTTGGTATTGTTCAGGGGGGCGGAACAAATATAGAGACGGGCCCGACCTGCGGGGACCACTGTTGTAGAGCCTCAAAATTCGGTACCCATGCTCTTCAAGTCAAGACATGGAAAAAAAGTTATAATGGCCACGCCCCCTGACAAACAGGAATACCATAAATTTAATTGGAAAAGGGAAAAGTGAAAATTGATTATTTTCACACTGTTGGTTGGAAAGCGTCTCCTCCTCAGTTGTTTCACCGATTCGCCTAAAAAATCGCTCCACATCATCAAACATATGTACCATCAAAATGACTTCACATAATTCTGATCAGTTAAATGTTGTCTGGTCGTACCACACCATAGTGCAAATTACATTTCGTACTAAGGTCTGGACGTGCTCCATTGAGCTCCGTTTACAGGTGGGAGGGGTTACCTCCTTTTGCAGATTGAAACGATTTGATCTGAGTTTACCTTGACGTATGCAATGCGCCGAGTCTGTTGTTAGCATTTAGCCTAGCCATCTCCTTTGCCGCTAAAGGAGCCCGTGGGAAGTAGCGCCACAATTTTTCCAGCGATTACATTTGCTAAACATACATTTTTTGCCATCGCCAAACTACAACCTTCCCGGTCAATGCAAACTCTTGACATCACCCACAACTAACTATAACTACAACACCTGCCTTCCGCGCTCTCTGAATTGTAGGTTGAAATTCAACCGATTGTAATCGCAAACATGGGGACTAGACCCAGACGTTACATGCAGTGAAATGATGATTGAACGGAGTGTACGGATGGCTAAGGCCAGGCTAGCGGAGCGGCATAATGTGACTTTTTTTCCCCCATTTTTGACGATAGAAAATAAGCTCCCGTTTGCACATATAAAGACCAATTTACACAAAACCTTAATCAATTGTTCAACTCTAGGGTCTAGATCATTAGAAAGTAAAATAATTCAAATTGGCCCATTACCACCCCCTACAGACTATGTCCAATTTTCACATGGGGTTAATCTCATTTAGTTTGATCAAAATGTTTGAAATTTTGCACATCCTTCTTTTTTGACCTCTGGATTAAAAAAGTCAATGAAACTCAAGACTTATTTTTTGCTGTGGCGACGTCAAACACTCCCCATTCTGTGTCAAAGGCAAATGTACACCTCACACAAACATCGAACCAGCCTCGGCCGTTTCACCGATTTGGCTGAAAATTGCTCCACAGCATCTCAACACATGTACCATCAATAATTGTTCATAGAATTTTGATTAGTCTCATGGTCATCCAATAGAAACTGTATATATATGGACACACTCACAGATTATACATGTGCTCCTGTTTACACATACAAAGTCTGATTAGTCCTAAACTTGACTCAGTAATTCTCCTCCTGGGCTTAGGTCACCTGAAGGTGTGAAATATTAAATTGCCCCCTACAGACTGACCCAAATTTTCACATGGGGAGTCAAACCAACTGATCATATTCATTAAGATTTCACGAACATTGGGCCTCATTCACAAATAACTTCGTAAGAAACTACTCAACTTTCTTCTCAAGTTGTCCTTAAGTAGATTTCTAAGAAGTCCCCACGTGGGATTCATCAACGCACTCGTAAGCCGCTGAATTGTTCGCAGCTGTTCTCTCAGATTGATGAATCCCATTTCCTCGTAAATACAGCGCGCGTGCCAGGTGCTTCATTAGCATAGGTACTTAGCATAAGTAACCGCCCATTAATGCCCATATAAGGGACTGCAGGGCCGTGTGCAGACGGCAGAGGAAACAGCAACAGGCCTAAAGCAGAGTTACACGGAGCAAAATAGTCACCCTTTTTTCTTCCTTTACCAGACTGAGAATAAAGTTATAAAATGTTGACTTAAAAGGCGAAATATTATGATAATAAAGTCGAACTAGCAAAATTATGAGATTAATCTAAGAATATGATGAGATTAATCTCAAAATGTTATGAGCTTAATTTAAAAATATATTATGTATTATTTTAAAGATGAATCTCAAAATGTTTTGAGATTAATCTCAAAATATTTTGGACCCTGGGAGGAGATCCAGCGCGGACCAGCGCTGAGACCAATGCAGACCCGAGGAGAGACTGGAGTGACCAGCACACAGAAACCAGCGCGAACCTATAGGAGAGACCGCATAGACTGGAGTGACCTGACTGGAGAGACCGGTGCGCAGAGACCAGCGCGGACCGAAGAGAGACCGCATAGACCAGACTTGAGAGACCAGCGCGGACCCGTATGGATCCAGGAGCATGCAGCACGGACCCGTATGGAGAGAGACCAGTGCAGACCCGTATATGGGAGAGACCAGTGCAGACCCGTCTAGATCCATGGGAGAGACCAGTGCAGACCAGTATAGATCCATAGGAGAGACCAGTGCAGACCCGTATAGATCCATGGGAGAGACCAGTGCAGACCCGTATAGATCCATGGGAGAGACCAGCGCAGAGACTCAGCGCGGACCCAGTAACCTCCTGCAGCAGCAGTATATATGCCGTTGTTCTGTGGCCCGTGGATAAAGAAATGCCCCCTATAAATAGGAAGGGGTCACTAATACACGGCAAGATTTCCAATGTATTTGATAAAGCGTTGGCACATTTCATTTCAAAATGAATTAAAAAGTAGGCCAGATCTGCAGTGAAAAAGGCGGTATATAAATAAAGATTACTAATAAAGATTACTACAAATAAATAAATACATACATCGATATGACGGACATATCACTGGAATGTTGTATTTTTATTCAACTTCACCAAAGAGGACAACCCCGGCTGTGAACATGTCGGCACTGAATGCGTACGAGTGCTCCTGAGGACTCGTAGGATTTGTACTTGCCCAAGAGAAATTCTGGTTACGAGAAATATTCGTGAATGCCACTTTCTTCGTAAAAACCGCGTAAGTAGGATTTACGTACAAATCTGTTCCTAAGAACCGTTCGTGAATGAGGCCCATTGTTCTGTGGCTACAAACAAATAATGCAAATAATGGCGCGGCGGTGCCCCCTCCTTTGCGCGGTGCCGCGAGGGTCGTTCAACGCCGCTTGTAGCTTTAACTACTTATTTAATTCTTTGTTCTTCTGTTCAAGTCAAGACATGAAAAAAGGTTAACATGGCCACACCCCCTGACAAACAGGAAGCCCATAAATGTAATTGCAAAATGGATGAATTAAAAATTATCCTTTTCACAGCCGTTTCCCTGATTCACCTCAAAATTGCTCCACATTGTCTAAACACATGTACCATTATTTTCATTTCACAGAATTGTGATCAATGAAACGTTGTTCAAGCAGTGGAGTGGCAAAAAGTGACATTTTTGTAGCCATTTTTTGACAATAGTAAATTTTCTCCCGTTTGCACATACAAAGTCTGATTTGCACAAAACTTGAATTCATTGTTCAACTCCAGGGTCTAGATCATTTGAAAGTGAAATATTAGAAATTGGCCCATTAGCGTCAACGTTTTACATGGGGACAATCACTTTTACTTTTGTCAAAATGTTTGAAATTTTGTGCATAATTCTTTTTTACCCATCCATCCATCCATCTTCTTCCCTTTAATCCATTTCTGGGTCAGGGGGGTGGCAGTCAGAGATGCCACCCAAGTCTCATAGCACCAGCCCCTCACTGACCCTCTGCAGGTGGTGAGTCCACAGGAGGACGGCTGCTCTAAGTGTGAGCATAGCCTTGATCTTTCAGTGGGGGCTTTGGGCAAAGTGGGGTTAAGTGTCTTGCCCAAGGACACAACGACAGCAGTCATCAGTGGGAGTCGGTGGAGAAGGTGCAGAGGTGGGAATTGAACCCACGACCTTCTGGCCTTAAGGCCAATGCTCTACCGACTGAGCTACTGTCGCCCCTCTTTTTTACCCTCTTGATTTAAAAAGTCAATGAGACCCAAGACTTTTTTACCCTGATCCTGAGGCGACTTCAAACACTCCCCATTCTGTGTTATCATATTCATTACAATTTCACAAACATTGTTCTATGGCTACGGGAGCAAATCATGGCGTGGCGGCACCACCTCCGTTGCGCGGGTCGTTTTTGAGGCCGCTTGTGGCTCTAATTCTATTTTGTTTTAATGTCATTAATGGTTTGAGAATCCTGACCATTGTGGCTGAGGTTTTTAGTTCAGCCACATTTTACTTTACCAGTGAGATTAGCTAGCCGTGGTGAGTTCTGGCAACCTGGATCACAGACTTTCTGACTTGTGAAACAGTGGAGGGCGGGACATTGAAATGAAGACAATAACAAGATGTACGGGCTGTAAAAGTAATTTTGAAATTCAAATATCTCGGCTGAAATACTGTTATCAGTTAAAAAATTAATGCCTTTTGACATATTAGCGCCATTTATTGATGACTTGACATGCATAAATTACATATGGTTACTTTAACTATTATGTTTACACAACTTTTCTTCTAGACAAAATATCTTTGCATTTATCAACACATAGTCATGGTTGTCCAATGCACTTTTTTAATCTGTGCTGGAGATAGGGCAAAGTGAACTCAGACACGATAACCAACAGGGGAGGGGACCATAGACGGACGTAGTCACGCCTATCTCCGCCGTTCAAACAAATGGGCCAAAAAATGTGCTCTACTGGAGCTATCCAAAATGGCTGCGAGTGGTCTCGCCCACAAGAAGATTGTGAAAAAACTAGGGCTGTCAAAATTATCGCGTTAATTCACGTTAATTATCGTTTTCATTAACGCGTTAAAAAATAATTAATGCATTAACTGCCATTGACGTGTTAACACGTCAATTGCGTTTCCCGCTATTTTCACGTTCCCAGATGTCTATTGAATCAAATATGTAAGGCTTGAGGCAATATTTTCTTGAGCCAGCAGATGGCAGCATTGCTCTATGAATGGTTTGAAAACAGTTAGATGCACATGTGCCTCTTTTTTCTCAGCTTTCTGGTGATTTCAATAAAACTTAGCTCTACTCGACTGAGGATTACAGGGGAACGAAACAAGCTAGAAACAAAATTATTTTTGCTGATGAAAGTAGACAGTCCATTCTTTCAGAATCTGGTTTTTGAAAATTCAGTAAAAATCATTAGAAACGGCTGGCAATATGGGAGTACCTGTTCTGAAATAGACTGGCAGTCAATCGCATGTCCGAATGACCCGCCCATTTATAATAATATCATTCAGAATGCCACGGACACGTGCGTGTGTGTGATGGTGACAGCGGTAACGTGGTCATATAATACACACATATATATATACGCACAGGGGCCATTCTCTGATGTTGTGTGACACACGGAGGAGAGGAGGAGACACGCTGAAATGCAACCAAACTCGCAAAATTAAAGCTGGGGTATTTTCCCTTTCATTAACAGCTCTTGTTGGTTGTTGGTTACCCAATGAGTCATTACATTTGATAATCTCATTTAACTTCAATTGGAGTGGATTTGAAATAATTAATTAAATGTGAGTTAACTCACCATTACTATGCGATTAATCAACTAAAAAAAATTAATCGTTTGACAGCCCTAGAAAAAACCCATCTGCGCACCCGAGTGACTTCAAAAATTCTAGAGTGATCCAAAAAAATTTACTCCCCTCAGCATTGACACACATGTTGAACGGAGCTTTGGGCCAAGAGCCAACTTTTGGTCCATCCTGTAAAGACGTTTTTGAGAGGTCTGCCAATTCTATATGTTAGCATTGGCTAATTCTTATTCCGGGTCCACCCCCATCGGCCACTTTTGAGCTCTTGTCTAAGTAGTAATTATTTGAGTAGTTACATTATCATGGTCAACATCTGAGTACAAAATGGTCCTGGCCACATCTTGGGTCATTTTGGCTGTTTATTTGTTAAACTGGCCAAGAAAATTAGACTAGACTAAACCAAAATAGCGCTTCCAAGTTTGTCTGAGTGCATCTTTGTTTACACACCGTTGCAAGAAGATGGCGTTATGGAGGAAGTTCTCGAAAACCTTTAGGAAGACACGATTGGCCTTCTCGCGGTCCTTCTCCTCCTGGGTCTTGGGACATCCACAGCATGGCCCCTTCTCCCCCTCTGCAGCATCAGATGTGGTAGGTTTGGTGTTCTCCTCCAGCTCGTTCAGGCCGTTTGCCGGGACACGAATGGGGACCTTTAGTTCTGTTAACAGCGATGCACATTTATTATAATTTCCTGTGAGTTCTGGAGATTAATTTGTTCTTTTGGCATCAGTGTGGAGTGAATACCAGCAGCAAAGGTGCCTACATTGTGTGTTGTTACAACCACAAAGATTTTTACTTTGGATGTACCCAGGGATGAAGTGAAGTTAAATGTTGTGCTATGGTATAAGATTTCCCATGCTTAGTTCCATCCTCTGGGAATATAAAGATTATGGCACAGCAAAGAGGGATACAATCAACAAATGGAAGAAGGTGCTGTGGTCAGATGAGTCCTTAATGGAACTCTTTGGCCCAAATGCTAAATGTTATTTTCATTAGGCTAAAAATTAACACTGCTCATCAGCCTCAGTGCACCATCCCCTGTGTAAGCATCATGCTGTGTGAATGTTTCAGAAGATAGCCTCTTAGGGTCACCAAACTCCCCCTGCTGTGAAAGGGCTAAAGGGGCTTCCATAAACTATGAACTAGTGATGTATGATTATGCAAACACCCACTTTTGAGGAGTGTGTGTTAAAAGATACGTTCACTTCACTGTTGTCTAATACTTGTGGTCTGTCACTGAATAAATCATGTTTGTGTAAAGCTATGTTCAGACCGGATTATGCGTTGCGGCGAGTTTCTATACAAAGTCAATTGTGACGTCCGTCCATGCAATTCCTCGCATAGGCTGACGTTACCATTTCCTTTGTATTGAAACTCGGCACGCAAGTTCATCCCGCGCAGCAGAGGCGATGGGTACAGAGGTAGATGAATGCAACAAAAGCAGGAGATGAACATCCTCGCTCCACATACGTGCGGCAACAAATCTTAGAGCAGCAAAGTGGTCACAGGGATACACGCCGGTCCAAACATACCAGGATTAAACCAGGGCTGACAATGGGGTGAACATATCTCTTAACCCTGAGTTAACATTCTACTGTGACTGTAAACAAGTGCTGCTAACGTGTTTGCCGATGTGGAAGTACCAGCGTTAGCATCAAAGCCCGCCCACCACTTCTGCCTTGCGTTTTTCCCCAACACAGGAAAGTACGGCAGATTTACTAAACTCATGCAGCTAATATTTAGTGAACATGCATTGATGCCTCCATCTACGCACGTCCATGCATTGGCGGTCTGAACACAGCTTCAGAGTTCATACTGTGACTTTCATGAGCTGAAACCAAGTATTTACCGTAAATACGGTTTATGGTGCTTTCACATACTGTATTTCTAGATGATTTGACAAGAATTTAAGATTATGTTCAGAATTTCTATTTACAATGATCATTTATGATGAGCAGAGATCACTGTTTTTTACAAATTGTTGTGAAGATGTTTCTGATTAATGATGATGTGTTATTTCCAAGACTTGGTGATCCTTGTGTCCAGGAGCAGACCTTTGGAGCAGAAGTTGTGCAGATAGAGCTCGCGGTCCTCTGGCTGCTGCTGCCAGCGGAGCAAGTAGTAGCTGAGGTTCCCGTTGGGGTGGGCTGGGGGGGACCACTTCACCATCAGCTTAGTGGAGGAGTTGGCAAAGGCTCTCGTGTTTTTGGGCATTGATGGCACTGTAACACAAGGGCATTCCACATTTCATAAAATTACATGAAAGTTCAGATATATATATTTTTTTTTAACAAATTGGGATAAAACTCAACATAGATTTGAGTTAAGGAATTAGTGGGATGTTGGTTCAAAGTGCACTTTACAATTACAGAGACCAAAACTCAAAATCCAGTAACTTATGTCTATGAAGGAATCACTAAATGTATCATAGTTACAGTTTTCTGGTTGGCTAAACCTAGAAAGAATTTGACAAAGACTAAGTTTAAAAATAAATAACAAAATCTTGACAAACGAGTGACTAAACAGAAAAAAGTTTTCTCAAATTCAAAAAGCAAGGGCACTGGATTGCTACACGAGTCTATTGCATAGTGAAAATCTTTCTCCCAGGTGCTCCTCATAAAGCGGAGAAAACTGAGGCACACAGTGGGTAAAGAAAAAGTTAAAAAGCTTTTATTAATATATGGCTGAAATGTAAAAAAATGCTAACGCGTTTCGGCCTCTCAGACCTTCAACAGGGCATGTGTTGCATTAAAAGAGTCAAAGTGGCTGCCAAGCTGCTCTTATACCTTATGGTCATGTGACATGATCTTAAAAGAATAGTACCACACAGGGCAGACAACAACGGGCACAACAGACAAAAGCATGATTTCTTTTACAGAAAAGGAATTAGATCTAGTTCATCATTCAGTCTGGGATATTGTATAGCTTTTAGGGTAAAAATCCAAAAAGACTCCTGTTGGAGTAACAGTTTCAGTCTGTTCCCTCCTCTTGAAGACATTTTGATGTTGTTTAATGCCACAGATGTGCAGACTTTCACAGCTTCCATGTCCTGCTTCTTTGTAGTGTACTGCCATACTATATTGGAGGTTCCCCGTTTTGATGGCATATTTTTGCTCATAAAGTCTGTTTTTCAATGTTCTTGTAGTCCTTCCAATGTAGAAGCATCCACATCGACACTCTAATCTGTACACTAAAAATTCTGTATTGCAGTTTATAAATGATTTTATCTCAAGGTGATGTGTATTGACATTCTGAAAATGAGTTTCAATCATATTATGGCAGTGATTACATGGTCACATGTATAATTTCCAGACTTGGTTCTGAGCCATGTTTTCGGCTTTAAAGGAGGTAGTTGACTTCTCACCAGTTTATCTTTCAAGGTTGGGGCTCTTCGGAAACACACAATGGGTTGTTCTGGTAAAGCTTCTTTCAGTACTCTATCACACATAAGTATATCCCAATTTTTGTTATTATTTGTTTAATTGTATTTGCTTTATCACTGTATTGTGTTATGAAATGAGCTTGATTAGAATCATAGTTTGGTTTCTCTTTGTGAAACCATTAGTAAATGTTTTTTTCTTTTAGCTCTCAGATATGCTTCTGACACTATATGATATTTATACCCTCTATTTTTGAATCTTTTGGTCATATCTATCGCATTTGTTTCAAAATTTTCTTCAGAATCACAGATGCGTTCAAGCCTCTGGAACTGACCATAACGTATAATACTTTTATTACAATACCCCAAACTGGATGATGAGCTAGATCTCTTTCCTTTTCTGTAAAAAAAAAATCATGCTTTTGTCTGTTGTGCCCTTTGTTTTCTGCCCTGTGTGGTACTGTTCCTTTAAGATCATGTCACATGACCATGAGGTATAAGAGCAGCTTGGCAGCCACTTCGACTCTTTTCATGCAACACATGCCCTGTTGAAGGGCAGAGAGGCCGAAACAAGCCCTGGTGATCCAAGATGGCGCCCTATTCAAATGAATGGCTTGTGCTCAGTAGAGCATGGGACTTCACTGGCGCTGACATATCAGAGGAACTCGGCTATATTTGGGCATCGTCTGGTCCTCCCGGTTCTGCGCAGTGGATTATCTCCCATGATCCGTTGCGCCAAATACGCATGTCTGGCTCTCATGCACGTGCACAGAGGGGCTCAGCCAATCTGAGCTGCTGATCAGAGCAGTAGTAGAGCGGAGTCAAAGTGGGAAGGAAACGAGCAAAGTTTGTAGCAATAAAGTGTGGATTTAAAGAAAACCAAAAAATGTATAAAGAAAAAAAGTTCAGGATGACAAGGGACACTAAAATCCCCACAAAATCCGATTTTTATGAAAACTGTAGGTTCTCTGACAGCTGAGGACAAGCTGTTTAAATTTACATTGAGATCTATGGGACTTATGTCTGCAGTACCACTGTGCCCATGGGTGGGACAGCTATAAGATAGTATTACCCTATCCAGTTATTATTATAGATCCATGGGCCGGTGCTCTGTGTACTGGGTGCAGCTCTGACTGCCACCCCCCCGACCAAGAAATGGATTAAAGGGAAGAAAATTAATGGATGGGCCGAAACATATTGGAGTTTTTACATTTTAGCCATGTATTAATAAATGCCCATTTAATTTTTTTTAAATGCATATTATGTACTGCATATGTTTGGGAAACACTGTACAGTTTAGCAGTATTGAAAAAAAATCAGAATCAGAATCACAGGAAGTCCCACACTAGGAAATTGCTTTGGCTTTCAGTGCAAGCATAATAAAAAAATTCTATATAGTATAACATATTCAAAAATAGAAAAAATTTAAAAGTAAAAATGTCTACGATTAAGTAAAGTGACTTTATAAAGGGCAGTAAAGTGGCTTTATGAAGGGCAGTAAAGTGGCTTTATGAAGGGAAGTAAAGTGAATTTATAAAGGGTGGGGGGACAGGTTATGAAATGTTCATGAGTCCAACAGCAGAAGAGAAAAAACTGTTATGGCGGGTGGTTCTGGTCTGAATGGACCGTAGCCTCCTGCCTGAGGGGAGGGGTGGGAACAGTCCATGTGCAGGGTGAGAGGGGTCGGCTGTGATACAACCAGCCCGGCCTCGAGCTTGGGCGTCGTAGAGGTCCTGCAGCGATGGGAGGCTGTGGCCGATCACCTTCTCTGCAGAGCGTAGAATGCGCTGTAGTCTCTGCTTGTCCCTGACTGTTGCTCCAGTGCTGAGGGGTGATATGTCGAATGAGCAGTGGGGGGAGGTGTCAGGAAAAACATCAAAGCGGCTGAAGAACGGGTTTAGCTGGTCGTCAGCACCGTTGAAGGCTCTTGGTTTGTGATTGGTGATCAAACAAAGCCCCCTCTACTTTCTACTGACGCTCTGAAAGAGTCCCAGTCCGTGGATTCCAAGCACACAGCTCATCCACAGCCTCATCAGACCATACCTTAGAGTTCCTCACTACAAGTTTTGAGAGCTTCAGTCATTGTCTGTATGCAGGAATCAGGTGGATCATGTTGTGATCTGTGAACCCTAAAGCCGCGCGGGGCACAGTCGCGTTAAGCTCCGCGTACAGTGGTGTAACAGTGATCCAGAGTGTTCTCCTCTCTGGTCGAACATTTAATAACAGGTTGCTTCCGCAGCGTGCCTGCAACAACGCTGCTTTCAATCAAAATGCGGTCAAAATGAGAGCGGCGGAGAAAATCTCCTGGGGGGCAATAACGCAGTTTAGGTGTAAAAAACATGTGAAAAAGTCACCAAAGCTGAGGAGAACTATCATGTTTGTTTTAAACTTTCTCCTACTCCTTTTGAGCATCATGTTCTGAGTGTCCATAATTTTATTAATCTGTGTAGATGTTGTGAATCCTCACCGGAGGGCCGCGTGCGGATGTAGACCATGTGGCTCTTGGCCTCTGGTAGCCGGTCCACCTGCAGAGTGATGCCCTTCACAAAGATGGCGTACTGGGTCCAGGGTTTAAGCTGCTGCAGGGTCACTCTGGGCTCTGCGCTCTGGTCCCCAGGGAGGTCCACGTCCACCATCTTCCAGCTGTCAGAGCCGCAGCCGTCCAGGTTGTCAAACTCAGTGATGTTCTGGAAAGGGCTGAGGACCACAGCACAGTTGTGAAATGCTGTTATGTTATGACATACAATTAAACTTGTGAGAAGTAATAAAAAGTACATCTGACATAAATATGTTGAATGCCTAGTGGGACTAGTGCACATGGTGACGACTTACGCCTCTTTATAGTAGACCACGAAGCTGACGTGGTCTGAGTGGTTCAGGGGCCTGTAGTGCTCCCAGCTCAGCCCAATGGTGGAACTCGTGGTGTGGTTGGACTTGAACGTCAAGATGTGGCTTTCACCTGGGGCAAAACAAGAGCGTTACACAATGTTTGGTCCCCCTCTGATTAGTCACAGTCCACAGAGTCGCAGTAAGTTTAGTTTCATTAGAAGAATAGAAGCGATAATCAATGCATTCATTATTATAGGTTTTCAGTTGTGTAAAGTCTTTAAGGATGTGACATTTGGATTGGAAAATAAATAAATGAGTTTTTAAAACAGTATAGTATTATCCAGTGTTGTGCGTGAACGAGTTCAAAAGAACGCGTTCATTGAACACGCTCATTTTTTTGTGAACGTTGAACTGAACGCAACATTTTTTAAAAAGAACTTGAACGTGAATTACTTCATTTTATGTGTCATGAACGGCAGACATCACTATGAACGTTGGAATCTGTTTTCTCTTTTGAAACGCAACAAGAGAAATTTCCTCCCTCCTGTATTCTCGCACTTTTTCCGCCGAAATCTAAAAATTCCTACGGTTTCCACCGTCTGTGAACGCACCCCGACTGTGTTGCGGTGCGGCGCTGAGAGCTGGTGCTTTTCACATGTGCCCGAGTCGTGATGAAAACACAGGGTGAGTTAGCGACAAAGTTTACACCGTTTACATTTGACATAAAGTATAGACACACGCACTGCAGCGCATTACTGTCTGTAGTTTATGAGCAGAGATGGGGCAACTCCGTTTGGCTCCCATTGAAAACCATGTAAATCTTGTCTGTTTTGTACTCAAAAGGCTCTCCTCCTGTGGGTGTACAGGAGATATATACATATACATATATAATATATATATATATATATATATATATATATATATATAGATATATATATATATATATATATATATATATTCCAACAGAGCCCTGTTATCGCATCTCGTCCACTTTCGCCTTGTTCCAGTAGCCCACTTTTCATCAAGGTGCTCTGGTTCCCCAGCACCTGACGCAGACCTTGTTTGGCCGGGCGACGGCTGATCCGGCATCTCATTGCTTATTTGTACCTTCATGGTTATGAGTTAGGCAGTAGCATTAAGGGTCTTGCCCAAGGATTAAGGGTCTTGCCCAAGGAATAGTGGTTACAGCGGATCCCCGGAACAACCTCGGACATCTCGGTCCAGAAATGTGCAGTGCTAGGAACAGCAAAGATACTGCGCAGAACCCTCAAGCTCCCTGGCCTCTGGTAGAGGACCCGAGCTTAGCCGCCCGCGGAGGGCCAAAGGTGAGTGGACAATTTTTTTTTTTTTATATATATATATATTAGCTCGTAGTGTGAAAAAAATACGTATTTAAGTATCTCACGAAAAAAAGTAAAATGAACTGAACTTTGAACTAGTTCAGAATTAAAAATGTGAACTTTGAACGTGAACTGTTCACTTTGTGCATGTATGAACTGAACTTGAACTAAGCAAAGGAAGGTTTCTCACCCATCATCTGTACTTCTTAGCAAGTTTTCCCGACGTTTCGTCCTCAACCTGGGGACTTCTTCAGGGAAAGATGGGTGAGAAACCTTCCTTTGCTTTGACTAATCCCTGTACGACTGAGGGCTTACACATGAACTTGAACTAGTTCAGAAAAGCTGTGAACTGGTATTATCATTATAACTATTATTCACAAACATTGTCACAGTAATCAGTAATAGTTCAGCTTCTTCAGGGCAGGACTCACAGCTTGCCCTCTGGCCGTTGTTATGGAAGTCACCCTCCTCCTGCTTGACCAAGATGCCTGTGCGCTCCACCATTGTGTGGATCTCAGACATGCACAGCTTGGGGTTCATGCGGAAGAAAAGACGTCCCGACTGGATGGTCAGATTGTGGTGGGTCCAGTTCCACAGGGTCTGCAGGTTTAGGTTGTTGATGGCGGAGAAGGCGTACATGCTGAGAGAGGTAGAACACACATTACATTAGGCTATATTACACAGTGTAGCGACAAAACCCATCCATCTACTGTATTTATCCATTTTCTACCCCTTAATCCATTCCTGGGTCGGGGTGGTGGCAATCAGTGATGCCACCCAAGTCACATAGCACCAGCCCCTCACTGACCCTCTGCAGGTGTTGAGTCCACAGGAGGATGGCTGCTCTGTCAGTGAGAGCATAGCCTTGATCTTTCAGCGGGTGCTACAGACGAAGTGGGGTTAAGTGTCTTGCCCATGGACACACCGACAGCAGATGTCAGTAGGAGTCGGTGGAGAAGGTCTCGTGGTGGGCTCGAACCCACGACCCTCAGGCTCAAGAAATAATAATATTGAATTGCTGTAACGTGGTTAGCATTAAAACATTTTGCTCTTTCAATGTTGCCGAATAATTCATAAATCACAGATTAGAAAGTTAGGTTATTCTCTATTGTCCCTGATAACTACGAGATAACTACGAGAGAAGCGCCATGTGAAGACGTGTGCTGAGCTCTGCATGTGGACCATTCTCTTTTTAACACTAGAAGCCCGAGGGTTTTTAGACCGCAGTTTAGAAGAGGAGAAGCTAACTTGCTACTTTGGTTGCTAACACTTGCATGTCTTGATATGCAAATTTAGGTAATGACGAAAACAGCAGGAGGCTGGGGTGGGCTTTGTTTATTTGTGTGGGGGAGGAAGTGCTGGTAGAGAGTGGAGAGAGTTGAGGAGAAAGTGCAAGAAGAATCATGCCTCTGTGCGATGTGTTGACTGATACAGATACACATGTGGACAATGCAGAAAAGAGATGCCGTGGCAGTCCAAGGACAGTGTTCCCTGAGAATGCATATACTGTATACATTTTGTAATTACAGTTTTTCTCAGTCGTTTTGGTGCTCTTGGTGTCGCTTGGTCACTCTTCACATTTGCACAACAGTTTGTACATTTCTCAAAACAATTAGTGCAAACTGCAACCCCTTGTGGATAACCTGCAAATTTCTCAAAATGAAAAGTGAATTCCTCAAAAGCAAGTATTGATGTCAATGAAACTTGTCAAAATACTATGTCCTAATAGATGGTTTTCCATCACGTGCTTATTACCCATGATGCTTTGTGCGAACGCTATGTTAAAGGGTCTGGCTTATATTGCACAGATCATTTGTCACGGATCATTTGTCCCCATGTCATCTAAAGCCACGAATTCGGCCGACGCTGACCGCGTTAAGTATATTGATACACTGGACTAATCTGTGAGGCAAGATCCTTGGAGAAATTGAGAGTGATCGTAGATTTGGATCCATATGAAATGCGGCGAGACCAGTGGACTTGGCCTGAAATGGCTTACTTTCACTTAACAGCTTTACAATTAAAAAAAACGTCATGATGTATATGATGCAATATTTCTTTCAATCATTAATTTATTTAGAACGAAGCAGTTGATATCACAGACTGTAAATCACTTCTGTCCACCACCCTTTCCCCCTCCTCCTCCTCCCCCTCTCATTCATTTAGAGGGGATCGCTTGAGGCCCATATATGCATGGTATCACAGTCAAATCTCAGCTCTGAATATAAACCACACATGCACAGATTTAGCTAGCTCTTACCTGTTATGAAATGGTCAGAACAGACCTTATATTTGAGTCATTATTTATTTATACATTTATAAATATTTATTTATTTATTTTGAGTCAGAATTTAGTATTTAGTGTTTAGCCTTGTATCCTGAAGAAGATGACAAAGTCTGGGATTGTGTCTTTAATTCAGACAGAAGACATGTTTTATTGTCGATGGTAGAGACAGCACGAACAACACGAACAAAAGAATGCAAGTGTATTATACAGAGCGGAGGCATGGAGACTTCCAATCAGCAGCTGCCACGGTGCCATGTAGCTTGGCCTTCAGATAGACAAAACAAGGGAAAAGTACTGGCTTCTACACATTGATAGAATGATAAGTTTAACTTTAACAAAAGTTGCTTCAAAGTGTTATGAAATCTCACATTGTATTCTATTGTATTGTATTCAGTAATCATCTGGCTCATTTTGATATTGATGTATGATGTTTGTAGTGAATATTTCTTGCTGAGAAACAGGAGTGCCAACCACTCAGCCAATGTGCAATCATGAATCGTTTGAAATTCTTTAGCATATATGTATATGCTAAAAATAAGCATAAATTGAGATATTTTTAATATTGTCTGTGGAACAACATTCTGAGTAGTTACAAGCAGTGTTTATATAGTAAATCAAGCTGATTTTTTCTTATTTGCACTGCTTCTATCAATTTTATTTTGAGCTGTTTTTGTAGTTTTTTTTTTTTACAGTTTACACTTCATAATAATTATATAATCAAGGTGTGAGATTTCATAACACTTTGAAGCAACTTTTGTTATAGTTAAACTCATCATTCTATCAATGTGCAGAAGCCTGTACTTTTCCACTTCATGTTTTGTCTATCTGAAGGCCAAGCTACATGGCACCGTGGAAGCTGCTGATTGGAGGTCTCCATGCCTCCGCTCTGTATAATACACTTGCATTCTGTTGTATCTGTGTTCGTGTTGTTCGTGCTGTCTCTACCATCGACAATAAAACATGTCTTCTGTCTGAATTTAAGACGCGATCGAGGACCTTGTCATCTTCTTCAAAGGAAAACCTAACATTCCGCATTATATAAGTTGGTGGTGTTTGGTTATAGCAGCATGATGTCACAGTTCTATGCACACATACTCGGTTCCTCTTCAGATGACATTTGAAAGCTACACCTCCATATTAACTCTACGCCTTCCATCATATGTGCATTCCCCAGTGAAACCTGAGGCCGGGAGGGAGCTGGCAGAGGCCAGGCTGGCTTTCCCATGACCCCAGCCTGTGTGTGTGTGTGCTGCTGATATGGGAACAGGACACAAGGCTAGGACACTCTAAACATAAAAAAGCCATTTGTAGAGATAGTGTAGATCCACCACCATATCAAAAACTTTGGCCTTCCCTGTACTACTACATTAAAACTAGGACTATAGTTCAGAATGAAGATTAACCCAAGACAAAAATATAATATATTATAATTTATATTGTAACAAACAATCATACTAAATATTCACAATTTAATTTGACCAGAAAAACACTTAACCCCCTGAAAAGTGGTTAGAAAAGTGGTTGAAGTGCGATCGCAGAGATATCAAACCTGTTGGTTGTAGGTCTAAGTTGCTGCAGCAGTCAAAAGCTGTGTATGTATACACGGTAAAACACAGAGAACGCGCTGACAGACAGGGCCTCTGAACTAATCACAGTGGTGCAAACAGGCCATAACAAGTTTTCTTCTGTCTTTAAATAAAGGTAACAGTCATGTGATAATAGTGTTATGTTGAATATTATGTTGTTGGAGGAAACATGCAGCGCATTTGAAGGGAAATTTTGGTAGAAAATAAAACCAGTAAAATTTGATCAACTGTCTTAAAATATATATTATGATCACAATTTAATATAGAAATTTGTTGTAAAATGTTTAATGTATATACGATGGTATGAACAAGTTTGAGCACCCCTAACAATTGTTATGATTTTCCTTTATACATCACTGGTTGTTTGGATCAGAAATGTCAGTTAAATATATCATATAGGAGACGAACACAGTAATGTTTGAGAAGTGAAATAAAGTTTCTATAATTTACAGAAAGTATTATTTAAACCACATGTACAGTATGTGCATCATTATAAACGCCCTTTACATTTGTCTTATCTCATTATCTTTAGCACTATTTTTGGAACTCAAAATTGGTTTAATAATCCAGTAACCCTTGACCTCCACACATAGGTAAATCTCTTTGCATCTTCTGTGAAGAGAGAAACATGGGAGCCTCAAAACAACTCTCACCTGAAAACAAAGATTGCTCACATCAGGGTTTAAGGGAAGGATACAAAAATCTATCACAGAGATTTAAGCTTTCAGTTTCAACCGTGAGGAACATTGTGAGGATTTGGAAGACCACAGACACAGTAAGGCTCGAAGTGGGAGACCAAGAAACCAACAGGATGTGAGAACAGACAAGAGTCACAGAGCACACACCAGCTCCAAAGACCTACACCATCAGCTGCACATGGTGTCACTGTGCATCGTTCGACTATTCAGAACACCTTAGACAATGAGTTGCTGCCTGGAAGAGTAATGTGAAAAAATCCTTTACACGGCTCAAACAGTGCATACATTTGCACATTTGGACAACCCAGCTTGATTTTGGAAAAAGGAAACTTAAATGTTGTCATTTAAAAAAAAATGGAGGAAATATAACAAGGCATGGATTCTACTCAATAGAATCAGAATCATTTTTATTGCCATGTAAGTTACAGGAAGTCACAGACTAGGAAACTGCATTGGCTCTCGGTGCAACAGTGAAGGATGAGCGGTAGAGAATAGAGATAGGCATAATAAAAATTAGCATACACTGCTAAGGTATGAATATTCAAATGATTACATTTAAATTTACTACAATAAACAGTGCAGTTGGTGCACACAATATGCCGTGAGCAGTGCAGTGCAGTAGTGCAGTAAGGTGACAACAGTAAAGTGACATTATCAAGGGCAGTAAAGTGGGTTTATAAATGGCGCTAAAGTGGCTTAATGAAGGGCAGTAAAGTGGCTTAAAAAAGGGTGGGGGGACAGGTTGTGACGTGTTCATGAGTCCAACAGCCGAGGCAAAGAAACTGTTTGTATGGCGGGAGGTTCTGGTCCGAATGGACCTCATCGTTGTTGGAGATGAGTCCAATGAGGGTGATGTCATCAGCGAACTTCACAGAGTCGTCGCTGGAGGTACAATGGTTGGTGTACAGGGAGAAGAGCAGGGGAGAAAGAACACAGCCCTGTATGTACTAAGGCATTCATGCAGAGGTTTCCCCAGTTGGTAGAGGGCAACCTCCACAAGACTTTCTCCACCAACTCCCACTGATGTCTGATGTCGTTGTGTCCTTGGCAAGACACATAACCTCTGGGAACACCAGATGCTGTAAAGTGCCAAACTGCCGCTGTGTCCTTAGGCAAGACATTTCACCTGCAGTTTAGTGTGTGTTTGAATGGTTGGTGGTGGTCGCAGGGGCCAATGGTACATACTGGTTGCCTCGTTTATGTCAGTGTGCCCCGGGGCAGCTGTGGCTACAGTAGTAGTTTATCACCACACTGGACCATCAGCCCCAATCAATACCATAAATTCACTCACTCATACCTATTGTGCATACATTATGCATCTGCCTAATTTGGTTTAAATAATTCTTGCACACTTTGTAAGACGATATAAACTTTATTTCACTTATCAAATATCACTGTGTCTGTCTCCTATATGATATATAGGAGTTTTTCTTAGCAGGGTATGTAGTTTGTGTGGAGCAGGATGGAGCTGGGTGAGGGCTCAGAGAATAGACTTTAAATCAGCTCTGCTACAAGTCTCTCCATGGCCTCGCACCAAAGTACATCTGTGACATGTTGGTGCCATATGAACCAACTCGGACTCTGAGGTGCACAGGAACTGGCCTCCTGCTGGGACTGTGAGGAGCACAGTGACTGGCCTCTAGCTGGTGCTGAGAGTCAGACTAAACTTGGGGAGGCAGCGTTCAGATGTATATCTTCCTGAAAATGAGAGGACAGCCTTAATCTGCTCTGTCCAACTCCAGATTAGACACTGTTCTGTTTAGTTGCACATACAACAATGAGGATTGTATTGCGTGTATGACTTGTGTTAAACAAATAAAATTGGGGGAGATGAAGCATTGTGAAGCAGGCTGGGGGAGGGTGAGGTAAAGCAGTGTGGAATAGACTGGAGGAGGGTGAGGGTGGAGCAGGGTGAGGTGAGAGAAGGGTGAGGCCAGAGAAGGGTGAGGGTGTAGGAGGAAAGAGCAGGTCATACTTGTCCAGGAGCTCGTGTCCACTGATGTATCGCAGACCCTTTAGGAATGACAGTGAGTCCAGCGTGTGCGAGTGTCGGATCCTCACGTAGCCCATCACCGTCTGGATCAGCCCCATGAAGCTCTCCAGCTCAGATGCAATGTTGTCTAAACACAATAGAGAAAGAGGGGTCAGGTCCAATCATTTGATTTTTGTCTTTGAGACATGGACGATAGTTTTATACGACACATTGTTTGTGAAGAAGAAGATTCTCTATTCAATATTCAAAAATATTGAAGAGAATTCTGTATTAAATTGTTGCTTGATCACACAGCTACTGTAGTGTGTGAATTCTGCAATTAAATAATTTCACTTGATTTGAGTGAAGAAAAAGTAAAAAAGGAACACATTGCATCCTGCTCCCATAATAAATACATGACTTTTGAGTGCAGCAGCAAGTCCTAAGTAACTCTGAAACAACTGTTGTTTTGTGTTTTACAATTGTTAGTACTTTTTCTAGCTGTAAATGTTACCTATGGTCCCAACTAAGCAGATCAAGCGTGAGTCCACTGGAGGAATTTAATTGTCTTGAACCTACAGTATCTATCTATCCATCTATCCATGACATAATTATTCAAAATTTCTAACGTATGGCCAAACATTTTCATCCTAGTCTCTTAATGCTCACATCCACATGCCTCCAACTTCTGGATTAGCCTCTGATCCAGCCCTCGGAGTGAGAGCTTAAGGGCACGATCACATAGGTTTTAGCAAACGAACTAGGCCAAGTGGCCCGGCTCGTCACCATAGGGGTGTGAAAATGGCCCGCGGTCACATGAACTTGTTCTCTGAATCGTGCCAGAGAAAATGTGCTGTAGTACAACGTTCGGTCCAGCTGGTGGCTGAACCAGATCATTGTGAGTATTGATCCGCTCTAGTTTGCATACAGACAGAATAGGAGCGTTGAGGATGCAATCTCGTTTGCTCTGAACTCTACAGTCACTTTGACAATAGTAAATCTGTCGCAGGAAAGCTGCTCATTGATTATAGCTCTGCCTTGTCCCAGGTAAAACAATTGAAAAAATTAATGTCTCTCGATTCAAGTGTTGCCGTGTGTAAGTGGATTTTTAGCTTTTTAAATGACTGATCTCAGAGAGTGAAAATCAATGACTCAATGTTGTTTCTGTTTTTGCTTTTTACTTTGTGCACTCATGATTGTGTGTCTTCCTCTGACCCTAACCTGATCACACCTTAGAGGCACTTTAGAGATTTCATGACACTTTGAAGCAACTGTGGTTAAAGTTCTAACTCGTCATTATAACATATGCACGAGGCAGTTCTTTTCTTCTGCATGTTTTCTGAAGGCCAAGCTATTGGTACTGTGGCGAATGCGGATTGGACGGTGTTCATTCCTCCATGCTGTATAATATATATATATATATATATAATGAATGAATATATATAACGTCACTTGCATTCTGTATCATCTTTGTTCATGCTGTCTCTACCATCGACAATAAAACATCTGTCTGAATTAAAGACACGATCCCAGACTTTGTGTGCATTGGTTGCATGTGGACTTACTGCCATGGCGGATGTTGATGTCGAGGTTTCCATCGATGATAGTGCAGTCTTTGAGAGACTGTGCTGCGTCCACAGAATCGATGACCGCAGAGGGACACAGCTTGTCACACGGGCCGTTACATGCACTGCACAGCATTCTGGACACAAAAACCAGTCACTTCATAAAAGCTGGGACCAGCATACTTTATCCTAAATGCTTGTGTGTTACACCAGTGTAAAGATAAGAAAATCTAGTTTGATTATAATTTAAGAATAGCACAGTGAAAGCTACTTTATTTTCAACATGTTTTTTTTTTAAGTTAATGTTAAAAGGATTATAGGAGGATTTTCACAAATTTTAGAAAAGAACCGCCCTATACATGCATCAAGAGTTCCGAGCTTCCTGTTCGAACGCATGGCATTGAGGGTAGTAAGTCTCATAAGCTACATGTAGCTCTATAGTCAGTCGGTTGGGTTTACATCTAAAACCACAAGAAAAAAATGCGTTGCTTTTAAGTACAAAAAAAAAATCTTTACTTTACCTTCAACCTTTGAAATTGGTGATTCTTTTAGCTATTAAAATAATCTATGGGCCGGAAACAAAAGAGAGGTCAATCGTTCACAACAAGTAATTCAATAAGGTGGTTGTGGTTTGATCCCCACCTTTTTGACCCAACTACCCACAATGCTGTGCGTTCGAACCGGAAGCTCAAAACTCTTGATGCAGGCAGGCCCTCCTTTATGAAACTTGCAAATGAGACAATTTGTTTTTTCCTTAGTTTTGAGCATAAAGCCCCATAAACAGAGCAATGGTCTCAGTCAAAACTGTCTCAGCCACTGCCCTGTACTCAGCATGTAGCAGTTTATAGATAGGATGCAACGCACTTATCTGTAGGATCGGGCTCACGGGCAGTGGCTCTGGGGCAAAGCGCAGCAGGTGCCAGGAGAGGTCCCACCGCATCACTGCTCAAATGTGGTGCCGCCATTCAGACGTTTTAGATCCAGAGATTCTCTGTGGAATCACGGACACTTTCCAAAAGCTTCTCATACGCATGTTCTCTCTCACAGAGATCGCTCAGATGCTTTAAGCGGTTAATGATGAGAGCCACCGCTAAAACAGGGCGTGAAACAGGCGGTTTCTGAATATTTATAGGCGTGACCTTCAATAATACGCTAGTTTTCATTGCGGCATTTACTAACAGCCGCGTATGCGTACGCTCAGATCTGGGCGGATCTCACACGTTCATAAATCCTGCGTTGGGTCTTGCATATATGGTATCTACACTACACAGTGTGATGATTGCAGTGTTGAAATAGTTACTAACTAATGTTGTTAATAATAAAAAAGTTCATAACTAAGGAACTTTTTATTGCAAAAGTCCAACTTTATTATCAAATACACATATGAGTGTGTTCACAGTAAAGTGTCAATTATAGTATCTGGACTTTAAAACGTTATAACTCAAAAACTAAGGGTGTATTCAGACGTGCACATTTGCTCCACTTTAAACGGACCAGGATTCGTTTGGAACTCTGATCCGAAGCTTTTATGCAGGTCTGAATACACACAAACGAATCCAGGTCCGGACCAAAGAACCGAACCGAGACCCACTTTTTTAGGTGGTCTCGGTCCGCTTCCAAACGAATTCTGGTCCAAACCGAATCAGGTCTGAATACATCCGGTGTCGATCCGACACAACTCCAAGATACGTGCGCATTTTTTGGGCTTAACAAGCACCGCACACAGAAACTGAGGAATTAGCCATTCAGCGGCTAACTATGCTGCTAACTATGCTGCTAACGCTACACAACAACAATGAGCCGTGTGCAGACTGGAGCAGTGAGGAGACGCTGTGCAACAGGCTTATGGAGTTACAACTGTTCACAGTATACAGTGATGTTAATGCAGCATCTTCAAACCATTTGCATTATTAAAAGCCTGACACTGTTTGACTCACGTCTCAAAGAGCAATATTCCGCATCATGTAGCTTTGGTTCATACCTGATCCTCAGCGTCTGTTTGTCCCGTGGTTATTATAGATCCATGGTTTATCCACAATGCTGAACAGGGCCGTTATTATCATAGATCCATGGCACGGAGCGCACAGACAGTCTCTCCTTCGGCTTTCTCCTCACGCATTCTCCGACGCTGTTCCAATATTTAAAACAACGTGTTTCGTCTGCGTCATATGAGCTGCTGTTGATGTTGAAGGTGGTTTTGCTCTAAAAAGAGCAAACAGAGGCAGAGCAAACATGCTGCACATACGATCTCAATGTTTTCTGCCGGTTCCGCATCTATCCTCCGTGAGCTCTCGCTGTCCAATAGGAGCGCCGATCGTCACACGTGTCAATATGTTTATATAAAAAAGTTCACTTGCAAAAAGGACAGTCTGAATACGAACCGGAGCAAAAGAAAAAAGTTTGGTCTGCTTTTGATTCGGATCAAGCAAGAGGAGCAAAGGACTTTTCAGGTCTGAATACACAAATTACTTTCATAGATTAGAAAAAAAGATTTCAAACACAGACACATTGAAGAGATAGTGTGGATAAAATCAAGAGGAAAGATTGACAAATATATTTTTGGCAACAAAACGACAAAATCATCCTCTGAGTTGACCATTCTACTGTGACGCCAGTTACATAGAAAATAAAATGTCCTCAGTCTGAAAAAGTGGCAGATGAAATCCCACAAGATTTACATGGTTAACACAACATAAGGAAATCACTTGATATAAAAAAAAAAAATGACCCTTGAAAAAGGTGTAACGGACGTGATGGTTTCTGTCCATTTTTCTCTAACAATTAAACTTGTGGGAAAAGAAATCTGGTCTGGTTTCACATTTAATTGGTTGACTAAATGAAATTATCACTTTGTTTCTACTCTATGTAAAAAAAATAGAATCTCTTAATCAAACGTGAACATCTAAAAATACGAAACAAACTTCTGCAAAGCTCATTCCGTCAAATCATCGTCCGTTACAAAAAATAAACAGGGCCGCTGTAGGAAACTTGTCTGTATGAAACAGTTATGTTCTAGCAACTTCTAATGGACAGAGGAGGTGTTTGGATATATGAAAAACATAAAATATCTTTGGATTATTAAAATCTAATTTTTGGCCTTTTGTCACACTTTTGCGCCCTTTTGTGTGAACAAGCCCATATATGAAAATACTCTCTGGTATTGTTTAGGGGGCCTGAGCAAATGTAGGGGCGGGCCGTAGTTTGGGGACCACTGGTTAAGATGATCCACCCGGAAGTAGAGAATCCTCCTATTTACCTTTATGTTATACTTCATTGTCCCCATAGGGAAACTAGTCCTCTGCATTTGACCGATCCTGAATGCCAATCAATCAATCAACTTTTATTTGTATAGGACCTTTCCTACACAAGGCAACACAAAGCGCCTCACAACCCACATCATATCAAGAAAATCCTAAACATTATAATCAACATATACATAAAAACTAGTGCTGTCCAACAATTAAAATATTTAATCGCAATTAATCGCATGGATTTCATAGTTAACTCGCGATTAATCTCAAATTAGTCACACATTTGTGTGGGTGTGTGTGTGTGTGGGTGTGTGTGTGTATGTGTGGGTATAGACCATAGACTGTATAGAAACATCATGGTGTCATGATGATGATAAACAAATACTCTATGCTGTTTCTCTGTTTACTTTCGGTATATCTATGACTGTATACTGTTTGCTTGTATTGCCTTTTTTATTAACCCCTCCCCCCCATCTCCCACTTCATGTCCCCCCCCCCCCCCCCCCCCCCAACTACATATTGTTTGTAATCTCTGTCTACAATGTATCTGAACTAGTCCTTTTCTTTGTTTCTATTTTTTTTTCTGTATATGTGTTTGTCTGCAATAAAAAGTAAAAAAAAAAAAAAAAAAAAAAAATTAATTGCGCGATAAAAAAAATGACGCCGTTAATATTGATTTGCGTTAACGCGTTAATAACGCGATATTTTGGACAGCACTAATAAAAACACAAGAAATATTAAAAACAGAATAAAATATGTAATTAAAAACCTTAAAACATTAAAATCACTCACAGGATTAAAATAATGAATAGCCTTATTATACGGCTCCTCACAGCAGCAGGAGAATTCTCCATTGATTTGAATGTAATTTCAAATCGTTCTACCGGTCATTATTTCTTGATAACGGACCTCTCAAAACAATAATGACCGCTGCCCATGGCAGCGCACCCTCTGCTTGTAATTCAAACGTGTAGAAGACTCCGCAAGTAGTACGGCCACTTCATTGCTACTACGGTATCTGCGAGAGAAGCTATCGGAACTAGCCACGCTCAATAGACACGTATATCAATCACATCCATCCATTTTTCTTCCGCTTCATCCGTTGCCGGGTCACAGGGGCAGCAGTCTAAGCAGAGACGCCCAGACTTCCCTATCCACACACACTTCCTCCAGCTCGTCCGGGGGGACTCCAAGGCGTTCCCAGGCCAGCTGAGAGACATAGTCCCTCCAGCGTGTCCTGGGTCTTCCCCGGGGCCTCCTCCCGGTGGGACGTGCCCGGAACACCTCCCCAGGGAGGCGTCCAGGAGGCATCCGGAACAGATGTCCGAGCCACCTCAACTGGTTCCTCTCAACGTGGAGTAGCAGCGGCTCTACTCCGAGCTCCTCCTGTGTGACCGAGCTCCTCACCCTATCTCTAAGGGAGCGCCCAGCCACTCTGCGGAGGAAGCTCATTTCGACCGCTTGTATCCGCGATCTATATCAATCACATTTAAATGTTAAAGGAGCTATACCCGTTTCTACTAGGTTTGAATGTTTAGCACTGCCCCTCAACTCACTCACAGGTCTCTCATTTCCCCTATGCTCTCATCCCACGGAGCCATCTAGTTTTATTTGCAATCTATATTGCAAACATTAGCATGAGCGCAACTTCTTGTAAGCTGTACAACAATCACTGATGAAATGGTACAAAAGCAACGCACTGCTAACAAAATATAAAACTGAAAGATTACCGCTAGTTCCGTGTCCGAATATAGTCCGAGCATAGATAGTCCGAGGCGGTCCTGCAGGTCTCTCACAAAGACAAGTCTCTCCAGAGGATACGATGTAAGCTTGCTATGTTCACCCGGGTTTGATTTCTTCTTTGATCATTTTTTCGCTTTATTTCCCTATTCTCTTCCTCACTATTGTGACGTTTGGGCTGTTTTGTTGTGTATGCAGTTACAGCAAGAGGAGTTATAGCCAATTCTGCTAACATGCTACTGTGTTTAGCAGCGCTGTAGAAGCTAGAGGACGCAGCCTCGTTCTGTGATAGGAGGAGAGCGGGCGTCATGCTAAGTCTCTACTCTGAACTTTTTACGGCCTGAATTCATACACAAGCTAGATCAATGAGATCAAGTTTTCAATTAAATTACAGATTATAATACAACTTGTATGTAGTATTAAGCATTTTTACGAACTCATTAATTAATAAATAAATAATAAGCTGCATAAATCTGAAACGCTGTCTCCACCTGTCTAGTTCTGACTCTTGGAACCAGCAAGAGGCTTCTTGCCATGTTCCTCAGAGTCTGAGTTGGTTCATATGGGACTAACATGTCACTAATGTACTTTGATGCAAGGCCATGGAGAGACTTGTACACAAGCAGCGCTGTTTTAAAGTCTCTTCTCTGAGCCACAGGAAGCCAGTGCAGAGACCTGAGGACTGGACTAATGTGATCGTACTTCCTGGTCCTGGTCAGCATTTTGGACATACTGCAGCTGTTTTACAGCCTTTTTGTTGAGCCCAGTTAGCAGGCCACTACTGTAGTCTAACCTACTGGAGACAAATGCATGGATAATGCTTTGCCAAGGGGGCCTCTGTCAGGAGTAGTTGTCGCTGTAGTACAGCACTCGGAGCCCATCGCCACAGCTTGTTTCGTACTACCAAAGTTGAAGAAATGTTTACCTATTCTACATACAGTACTTTTAGTGGTGGGGGAGAGACGTGAGCACCTGAAGGAAACCTACGCAGACACAGGGAGAACATGCATCAATCAATCAATCAGAGAGTCCCAGTTCTAAGCGGGATTCGAACCCTGGACTTTCTTGCTGAGAACCAAGAATGTTAGCCATCTTGCCATCTTGCCATTTTTTTACTCAAAATTATAACTTAAAGTAAAAAAAGGTGGCAATTGTTTTGGGTCCAATGTTTTTTGGAACCTAAACAATGAGTAAATTAAATTATATGGTTGTTTTCTTGATGGATTTAAAATGATGTACAACACACCTTACCATCAACACTGCAAGTTCAAAATAGTTTAAAATAATTAAACTATTTATTAGGACGCACCTGCTTATCTAAAGCATTCGGATAATATTAGTATGAGTCTGTAGTGTCTATATGAGTCTGTAGTGTCTGTATGAGTCTGTAGTGTCTATATGAGTCTGTAGTGTGTGTGAGTCTATATGTTTTCGGCAGAGCTGTTTGGGCTTAGCTGCAAATTTCACACTCCTCATTCTAGACTGATAAGTTCACGTCGCAGAAGGTCGCTGGGTCTCCTTCAGTAGTCTAAGCATGAGTTTCTATGGCCTCAGGGACTGGAGAAAATCAGAATAATGTCAAGTGGAGAGTACCGAGACACAAACACAGAAGGAGCGAGAGTTTAAGGTCCAGGAGGCGTTACACAGATGAGGGTGCACAAAATGGTTCACTATAAACAGACGAGTTCTGATTTACTTGGAGGAAAACAATATTTTGTCATGTGTCCATATCATCATATTACATACATAACATGTACGTATACATGTAATGGCTTGGTGTAAAAACCACCCAGCAAGTGAACAAGTGAGAGATTAAAAAGTTGTTCATATTCTAAAACATAAAAGGACAAAGTAAGTCTTATCATTTTTTAATTGTTTGTTTCTGTGTTTTAGATTTGTTTAAGTCTCCTCCCCTCTCCTCTTTACTCTCCTCTATATTCCTCCTCTCTCCTAACCTCTTCTCTCTCCCCCTCTATGCTCTCCTCCTGCTCTCAGTCCGTCGGCCCTCTTCTCTCTTCCTCCTCTCTCCAACCTTTTCCCTGAGTCAAGTTGGGTAGTGTGGTCTCTCCAAAATCTCCTAAAACTTTCTGTGTAGGCGTTGTGCAGTGTGTCCTGAGTCTTACCGGTTGGAGTCGTTGCGCGTAAAGCCATTGGGGCAGTCGGACATGCACTCGCCGTCGTGAATCACAAAGTGGCTCTCTCCCTGCAGATGGACCTGAGCACACATGTCCAAAGTGATGCATCTCCAGCCTTCGAACATGTAGGTGTGTGGCGGGCAGCGGGGCACACAGCGACCCTCGTGCTGGTAGTGCAGGCAGGCGGAGCATGCCCTGTCACTGTGAGGCTCCCGGCAGCGACCCAGACACTGGTTGTGGCAGCACTCGCCCTGGTCTGTACAGGCGTGCCGGCACTGCTCTGGGCACACTGCAACACAAACACACAAGGACAAAGGTTAGGGCGGCACGGTGGCTGAGTGGATAGCACTCTCGCTTCTCAGCAAGAAGGTCCTAGGTTCGAATCCCGGTTGGACCAGGGCCTTTCTGAGTGGAGTTTGCATGTTCTCCCCGTGTCTGCGTAGGTTTCCTCCGGGTGCTCCGGTTTCCCCTACCACTAAAAATATGTACAATAGGTATGGCATGTGCCTCCTGTACTGGCACCCCCACCCAACAATTGTAAACCGCTTTGAGACTCCGATGTGCAGTGAAAAGGCGGTATATAAATAAAAGCTTACTTACTTACTTACTTAGTATGGTAGTGTGAAGGGATGAACAATGCTTTATTTGTTATAGATGACAACTAGTCTATCTGGGTCCATGACTATAAAACATTCAGCTATACAGAAATGATAGCGGAAAGTATAAACATAAAAAGAAAGATACATATTATTGTAGTCAGTTCTTTCTTAAGACAGACCTTGAAACGCTTGACATGACTTCATTACAAAGATGATGGTGATCTGTTTTCTGAGTTCTAGGCTCGGGAACAATGTTGTCACTGTTAGATTGTTGTATAGTGAAGTAGTGCCCTGCACGGGCCTATTTTCTGGGCTTTCAGAATTCAGAATTTCAGAATTCTCAGGCCCAAACCCGTATCAAGCCCAACTTCTTCTTCTTATTTTTTATTATTATTTTTTACTTCCCATAAAAATGTTTTAGCATAGTAGTGCCGCGCACTGATATGAACACAGGCCCGGCTAGAGGGCGGAGTTATACATGGTAGTGATGTGTTGCACGGAGTGAACGGCCGCAGCTGTATGATACACAGATGCCGCAATAAACGACAACACACTTGAAGGTAACGCTACAACAAATACTACATCGTAATAGAGTTCTATATTCATTGGGTGTGTTCGTAAATGTAATCTGCTGCTCTGAAAATGAACAAATAAAAGTTCCAGAGCCCGGCCCGTGTCGGGTAATTGTACGGTTATCGGCCTGATGTCGGGCCCCTCGGGCCTGGGGCTCAAGTGCAGGGCTCTATAGTGAAGAGTGCATGTCTATCACTGAAAAAAATATATTGCAGATCTCTTGTTATTACAAAGCTTCTTCAACAGTCTCAACTGCACCATGACTCATGTATTCACTTGAGATGGGACTACACAAAATGTGTCTGTAATAGTCTTCCATGTTACAGCATTGTTCCCTCATCAAAAACAAACCTGGTTTGTATTTCTGAGATGACTACTGTTGTGATTTAGGGCTATACAAGAATAAAGTTAGTTGAGTTGAATCTCTAGGCGCACTAATTACAGGTCCGACTGGACACACATCCCCCACCACATCTGTTCAAATTCTCCTTTTGTAAAAATTGTAGAACAAAACAAATGCCTCCAAATAATGATGTTCTTTACCACTGCAAGTTACGACTAGACATGTTTGATTTAGATTCAAATCTAGAAGGAAATGTCCCACTTCTACCATGACATGGGAGTATTTATCCAAATCTATTTTACTTATATCATTTCACATTCTATAACACAAGAAAGCAGCTTCATTTCAGTTTTTGTGGAAGAAAAGCAGAAATAATAGCCTAATAGCATATAAAGGATCTTGTGAGCTGTAGCTTACATTACAGCTCACAAGAGTCAACTAAGGCAGGTCTGCAGAGGTACACAACATTAGAAAGGAGCAAGACATATTTTTTATCATTGTAGATCATTGCAGATCATTCTTTGCACGTCAGACAGACCTCTCTCAGTCCACTTGGATTTCAGATGTATCATCCCCATTCATTTTACGCAAACAAAAATCCACATATTAAAAGATTGAAGCAGGACAGAGTGCGTATGTAAATGTAAATGTGTGTAGTGAAAACACTAACAATTATGCTTACAATATGTCCATAAAACAACATTACTGTGAGGCGTGCTCTTATAGCCAAAACATAATGAATAAAGTGTGCTCAAAAAAGATCTGACGACTTTTGTTCTGTGAGAGAGGAAGTGTGGATGTCCGGGTCTACCCCACACGTCTTCTAAAGCCTTTGTTTGTCTGAGAGCATAGGCAAGCGCCATTATTTCACCAAACTGTGGTCCCGATACACTTACTGCGTTTAATGGACCATGCTACAATCTGAGTCATTTGGGCTTTTCCATGGATCTATAATAATATCTGAATAGGGTATTACTAGCTTATAGCTGTCCAACCTATTGGCATAGGGGACGCCCGTGGTACTGCAGACTAAATTCATGCTGGCTACCCAGAAAAAAGCTTTCACAAAGATCGGATTATGTGAGGATTTTTGTGTCCCTTGTCATTCTGAAAAATATAGGCGAGTTCCGCTAATCTTTCGGTCACCCGTGTATGTCTCATGTAGCCTGGCTCTCGTAAGAGCCTTGTAGTTCCGCCATACTCCACCAGAGGCGTTTCGCTTCACCCACCAGGGTCTGGGATCAAGCGCATACCAAACTCCTTCAGCAGATCAGAAAATAATTGACCAATCGGGATCGCCGGTGTTACGTCGGGTTTGCATCGCCTTCTCAAGCATGTCTCATGCGGCAGCAAAAGCAATCCCAATAAATATGACATAAAGTCAGTGAATTAAAAAAAAAGCTCAAATACAAACGAATTAAGACACAGATGTCACTTTTGATGCAATATAAGGCGAGATTATGGGGTAAGGTTACTGTCAATAAAGACGTGCATGTCTAAAAAAAATATGTGCATACATTTTTTTTAATTAATTCATGATTAAGATAATACAAACTAAAAAGACATGGAATTTCGTAATTAAGAATAAAAAAATATAAAACTGTATGTGTGATTTCGTACTTGTGAATACGATTTTTTTTGTGTGCTTGCATTTTCTTTTTGAGAATACAAATTTCAGCAGTCAGCAAACTGTCAATAATACGTCACTGCTCACAGACATTAACAATCGAGCCTGCGCAGAGTTGATCATGGCAGAGAGCAACAAAATTAACAATTTGGCTGAAAATCAGGTAAATAACTATATTTGATCATTTTGGTCGTAAATAAATGTGTACGAAATATTAATTCCATAAAAAGGTGTTCATAAGATGTTTCTTGTCCCTCTCTAGAAACGTTTTTTTAGGCAGTGTTGAGGCTAGCTTTAATGCTAGTTTTACAGCTTACCATGTTCTTTAAAACCAACATTTTTACATTCTTAGCATTTACATTTGATGAAGCCTTTGCCCCGAATCAATGTGGTTAATTGTTGATTACCAGCCCCAACACTCCAGATTATTCATAGTTCGCGCTGTTCAATCAATCAATCAATCAAAGTTTATTTGTAGAGCGCCTTTCATGCACAGGGCAACACAAAGCGCTTCACAGTCCACATCACAAATCATCACATAAAACAAACACCAGAATCACAATTAAAACATTAAAATCACACAAAAGATTAAAACACAATAAAAACAATAAAATAACACAAAAGAATAAAACCATTAACACTTTCAAAGTTACACAAGAAATTTAAAAAAATAAATAAATAAATAAATGACAGCAGTGCATTACAAATGGAGATAAAATCCTTCAGTTGTATGCACAGGCAAACAGAACAGTCTTTAACCTGGATTTGAACATTGACAGAGTAGACGCCTCCCTCACATTTTCAGGGAGATTGTTCCAGATCTTAGCTGCATAGATCTGAAACGCAGCCTCCCCATGTTTGGTTCTCACTCTGGGCACCAGCAGGAGGCCAGTCCCTGTGCTCCTCAGAGTCCGGGCTGGTTCATATGACACCAACATGTCACTAATGTATTCTGGTGCAAGGCCATGGAGAGACTTGTACACAAGCAGAGCTGTTTTAAAATCTATTCTTTGAGCCACAGGAAGCCAGTGCAGAGACCTGAGGACCGGACTAATATGGTCATACTTCCTGGTTCCTGTCAGGACTCTAGCTGCTGCATTTTGGATGTACTGCAGCTGCTTACAGGTCTGTTTGGACAGACCTGTAAGCAGGCCATTGCAGTAGTCTAGCCTGCTGGAGACAAATGCGTGGACAAGAATCTCCAAGTCTGCCCTGGACACTATATTTCTGACTTTGGCAATGTTCTTCAGATGGTAAAAAGCTGTTGATGTTATTGATTTTATGTGGCTATTGAAATTTAGGTCTGAGTCCAGTATTACCCCCAAATTTCTGACCTTGTCTGAAGGAAGTAGGGAGAGAGACTGAAGTTGACAGATGACGCCCTCTCTTTGTTTCTGGGGACCAAAGACAATGATTTCGGTTTTGTCTGCATTTAGCTGGAGGAAATTATTTTGCATCCACTCACTGATCTGTTGGATACAGTGAAGGAGCAAATCCAGTGGTCCATGTTCTCCTGCAGTCAGTGAGACATAGATCTGAGTGTCGTCGGCGTAATTGTGGTAGGACACTTTGTTTCTTTGTATTAACTGACCTAACGGCAGCATGTAGAGATTAAATAGGAGAGGTCCCAGGATCGACCCCTGTGGTACTCCACAGGTCAGGGCCACATGATCTGAGACGCAGTCTCCAATCTCCACAAAGTACTTCCTATCCTCCAGGTAAGACCTAAACCAGTCTAGGGCTGTGCCAGTGACACCAACCCAGTCCTCCAGTCTCTGCATGAGGATCTCATGGTCGACAGTGTCGAACGCGGCACTAAGATCTAACATGACCAAAACTGTGACTTTACCTGCATCAGTGTGAAGTCGAATGTCGTTTGTTACCTTCACTAGAGCGGTCTCAGTGCTGTGGTGGGGTCTAAACCCAGACTGGAACATATCAAAAGAATTATTCATTGTTAAAAATTCAGTAAGTTGTTGGGAGGCCACTTTTTCAAGAATTTTTCCAATGAATGGCAGATTCGATATGGGGCGATAATTTTGAAGTCCCGCAGGATCCAGACTGCTCTTTTTTAGGAGAGGTCTTATGACTGCTGTTTTTAGGGCCATAGGAAATGTTCCTGACGACAGAGACATGTTTACTATTTGTGTCAGTGAAGGTAACAAACTGCTCAGGACGGACTTCAGAAATTTAGAGGGCAATATATCCAGGCTACATGTGGAGGAGCTCAGACTCATGATTATCTTTTTGACAGTTTCAGTATCCACAGGTGCAAAGTGAGTTAGCTCAAAAAGCTTCTCTGGCTGTTGCATTGTTATACGTGCTGTGGAGGTGATAGTGTTTTTGATTCCTTGTACTTTGTCATCGAAAAACTGTGCGAACTCATTACACCTAGATTTAGAGGAAAATTCAAGGGGCAACTTTACAGGGGGGTTCGTTAATCTACCAACTGTTGAAAACATAACACGAAAATTGTTACTGCAACCTCCAATAATGTCAGAAAAATACATTTCTCTTGTTCTTCGTAGAACCCGGTTAAATTCACCCAACTCATCTTTAAAGATTTCATAATCGCCCTGGAAATTGGACTTTCGCCACTTCCGTTCGGCCCTCCGGCACTCTTGCTTCTGTGCCCTGACCGAGTCTGCCTTAGTCCATGGG